TTCTTTCGGTGCTTCGATTTATTTTGTCACTTTTTCAGATCTTTTCCCAAATTTTCGTTGATTCGTTTCGAAATTCATAGGACAGTGTCGTGACCAAGGACCCTGATTTCGGTCAAGTTTCTTTTCTTATGCTCCTGGCACACGAAATCATCACAATTGTTATTTCAGAAGGCTGTCGTTAGCCTGTGTTAGTCTTCGGATGTGAATCATGTCGTATTTGTCGTCGGATCACATATGCTGAAGAATATTAAGTGTAAATTTGTATCAGGGATACATACGGCCACCCGTTTTCATCTTCATCCTTAATCAGCAAAATCGCGTGCAGTGGAAATAAATACATATTTATCTTAATTTAGAACGCTTGAAAATTATCTTTACATTAATCTGTGGTCAACTTTGCTTCTTAAATATATGTTTAAAAGAAATATCAATATTAACCTATTTGGTTAAGGACAGAGTGAGTTGAGTTTTACGCCGCACTCAGCAATATTCCAGCTATATGGCGGCGGTCTGTAAATAATCGAGCAAGGACAGAGACAAAAAATTTAATTAAGCGGCGGGGAACACCGAAATAAAAAGGCGGCCCTGTACAACCCCAATATGTAAAATCAAGACAATATGTAAAAACTAACGCAATATGTAAAAACTTACCGCAAAACGTAAAAAATAACGCAATATGTAAAATATTAACGCAATATGTAAAAGATGTCTTTAACGCAAAAAGTACAACACCTAACGCAAAATGTAAAAACACTTTTTAACTTAATATGTAAAAAATTAACGCAAAATGTAAAATCCAGTTTTAGGTGTGAATATTAGGGGTGGCAATCGAAATCCATTTTAGTCACAAATTTGGCAAAAATTGACTTTATTTACAAAAACTAAGATATCGCAATGTTTCTTACAAAATAAACTTCATATTACATTTTTATGCAAAATTTTACCTCGTTCAGTATACATGTAAGCAGAGTCGATAAACATATAATTTCCTTGTATATAGATATATTTTAATCGATCTTATAGTCTATTTTCGAAAGTTTTAAAGGAATAATTATATTCTTCAAACTTGTTTTCATAAATTGTATTTTTGATTATATTAATTATGTCTTATTCAAGAAGGATGGACCTTTCCTTGAAACTGTCCATTCCGTTGTTGATAATCTGTGATTACCGAATTTGGGTTTTAAAGAAAACCACTTATTGATCCTTCTTAATTTGGTTTGAAATAACATGCATGTTGTAGTAATGTTTCCAATTTTAATTCATTGTGTATGGGGGTTGGAATTAATTGCAATTGGTACTTGGCATCGAGATGGTAGCTCTGACCATTGGACTTCGGACCTAGCAACTGATCTAGGAGAGAGCGCCAAAAGTTATGATTTGACTATGTACATGAAACAACGATGGGCGGTTAAAGGGAATACTAGAATAGTACCTAGATGTCATAGCTTCATTTGCGGGTTGGAAACAACTTCAAGTAAACCAATGTGTACATTTATTAAATGACTCTCTCTCTCTTTGCCCATTGTACCTGTTACACTCTTAATTTGATCAGGTGGATTTAGGGTCATGTAGTGTTTCCCTTCATTTTCATGAAAGTAGCCAAGATATATAACTGGACTCTGTCCGGGTAGAATCTCTTTTGGATGAACTTGTGTCACTGTTCCGTTTACATCAAAGATTCTGACCTCTATCATAAGATTCCTGATACAACCGTGAGAACCAGGTGATCACCATATGTCCCGTGAGTGAGTGAGTGAGTAAATATGGTTAAACACCCCTTCAGCAATTTTTCAGATATTGAAGACGTTAATTACACAGAGATGTCTCCATTTAGTAAGCAATAGAATAACTGGTTCCATTTATACTAATGTTTGGTACTACGTCAAATAATCACATGAATGTCACAGAATACACAGCGAATGGCAATCTATGTGATTAAATGGTGAATTACGATTATAATTTCTTAGGCGTGGTTTGTGATTTTGCAATTCTATTCAGGTATCATTGATCTTGGCATTGGCATGTTTGATGGATTGAACAAGTCATGTTACCCGTTTACATCAATATTACATATTACTTAAATTGCATCAAATACAATAACTTTATTTCATTAAATTTGAGCGATCAACATCGGGATCCAATCTCAAATGTCTCTGGTATTACTCGATTTCATTGGCAGCAATATTACCTGTGACTTGATTGAAGGAAATCAGATGTGATTGGAATGCAAATACCCGAATCACTGCGATGCATCTTGCATGTCCATTATACCTAAAACTGCAAGATGGATTTACCATTTCCAAATCAAAGATATTTGTGTACAGCGACACATTTATACTTAAACAGAAATTTTCACGTTTTGGAGTAATATACTACATGTAAATACATCATGATAAATATGACATTTTCTCTAAAATCAGGGGATAGCCTAATGGTTAAAGCGTTGGCTCGTCACGCCGAAGACCCGGGTTCGAATCCCCACATTGGTACAATGTGTGAAGCCCATTTCTGGTGTCCCCCGCCGTGATGTTGCTGGAATATTGCTAAAAGCGGCGTAAAACCAAAACTCAGTCAGTCAGTCTCTAAAATCAAGTAATCCCTATGGGATGTCTCAAACATTTTATCATGATTTGTTGCATTTAATCAATACAATTTGAGGCGAGATTAAAAAACACACTATTTGTCTGCCTACCACAAAAGTAACAGACAGACAGACAGATTTATTTGTATAAGTGTAAAATAATATGTGTAAAATAAAAACAGTGCATTTATGCGCAACATGTAAATACGCGATTTATAGGAACATCAATAAATCCATAAACACCCATTCACAATTTACATTTTCTCTCTCAATATAAGTATGTGGTACAACACAATGGCTACCTTAAACAACAAGTCAATATTTTCTGTGGGAAGTAGCATACAGAATTTATCGTGCCGCTTGGACTTTGAAGTTGTGAGCGTTACATCTAAATTTAGTAAGCGTACGCTTAAGTTGTGGTGCAAAAAGTAACTGATACATAAATTCCAAAAAAGGTGAGGTGAGGTGAAATTGGGTTTTACGTCGTGCTTGAGAATAGTTCGCTCATATGACGACGTGCATGCGTGTATATGTGTATGTGCGGCTGCTTGTACTAGCTCAGATTTAAGCTGGTTTTATAGTGCTAGCCCACTGAGATACCATGCCGCAGTGAAGCATGAATACCCCACTCAGACACATTATACTGACTCCGAGCCGACCAGTCCTTGTTGTACCCATTAATGCCGAGCGCCAGGCAGGGACCAACAAGTACCATATTTTAAAGTCTTTTGGCATGACGCGGTCGGTGATCGAACCCGCGACCTTCCGCTCTCCGGGCGGACGCTCTAACCAATACACCACGGAGGCGGTCTCCAAAAAAGGAAAATAATTTGCTATTAATTCCCCACTAAAAAAGACAAGCCTGAACAAACTGGTCTCTCAACAAAAACAACGAAAAGAAAAAGAATACAAAAAACTGATGTATGCAGAATTTCAAGTGGAACCTTTGTTACAGTGCCAAATATCATTAAACATTGATTAACCACTTCTTGAGATATCGCCCAAACCAGTTCTTTGAACGGACAGACTGACTGATGGAAGGTATTTTTTTATCCCCAACTTAAAGCTAAATGCGAGTTGTGGGATAACAAAAGGCCAAAAGGTAAAACCTTGAATGGGACATGATGAATAATACAACCCATCTGACCATTTATATAAAAAATAACTATGAAGAATACTATGATTTCTTTTGATACTGTCGAATATAGAATATGATATAAAGTATCTCTATATCATACAATTATCGGCTTTACCTGACCATATAGATCAGATTTCAGTTAAATTAGAAATGAGGTTAATTTTGACAGAAATATTGCAATATCTTAGCTATTTTGAAAGACAATAAAGTGAAGTTACGAAAAAAGTTTCAGTCACCAAGACATAAAAACAACAAAAAAGCTGTATTTTACAGATTCCGTTAATCTTTTACAAATTGCGTTAAAAATTGGTTTTACATTTTGCGTTAGGTGTTTACGTATTGCGTTAAAGACATTTTTTACATTTGGCGTTAATTTTTTACCTATTGCGTTAGTTTTTACGTTTTGCGTTAAGCTTTTACATATTGCGGTAGTTTTTACATATTGTCTTGATTTTACATATTGGGGAAACATGGGGAAAATTTGGGGAAAGCCTTACGATAGCTCTGATCACCCGATCCCGTCTTAACAAAAATGATCGTATCTTATGTCAAACATAGGATGCTGCAAATTAACTCTAACCCGGACGTAACCTTATGTTCACGGAGGCTGTTCGATGTTAATCCATGGGTACATACTAAAATATATAATTGTTCGTCAAACAATGTAGCATTTAAAACGAATTATGAAATAAATATAATCAGCATTTATATTCCAATTTAATATGTCAGTTGGGACAATATATAACGTTGTGTCGTGTCCATGTAAACTGTTGCTGTTAGTCAAGTATCCATGTCCTGCATTTCGAGTCATCGATTTTTGCATGCATCGATAGTTCGATGAGTCCATTCCATCCCCCATGAAATACGTCTATGCACATGTGTTTTGGTGATATACAACAGAAAATCTGAAGACAGATTCCAGATTAATGCCATCTATCAGTTCCAAAATCGGGGCGGTGGGGGCTAATGGTTAAAGCGTTCGCTCGTCACGCCAAAGACCCGGGTTCGATTCCCCACATGGGTACAATGTGTGAAGCCCATTTCTGGTGTCCCCCACCGTGATATTGCTGGAATGTTGCCAAAGCGGCATAAAACTAAACTCACTCACTTACTCAGTCCCCAAATCAAAACCACGACAGGGTGATGAAGTTTTTGTCAATGCTCCTAAGTTGTGTACACTGTGGAATGCTGTTTTGATCAAACTTAGTACGCCAAAGGTCAACAACTTTCTGAAGACAGTTGAAAACATACCTCTTCTTAGAAGCAATCCCCGTGTATATTCAACAATGCTCAGCTTTAAGTAAATTAAATCTCAATGCTTACAAAATGCAAGTGCTGAACAGCTAATAGTTAAATATGATTAAAATTATTATCATTCGTCAGAAGATTAATTATAGGTGTCATTACCTTCAGATTCACCAACATCATCATCATCAACATCATCATGTTTATCTCATGGCCTGAACCCGTGAAGGTCCTGGTTAGAATTAACCTTCAGTAACCCATATATGCTTGTCGTATAAGAGGCGACTAACGGGATCGGGTGGTCAGGCTCGCTGACTTGGTTGGCACATGTCATCGGTTCCCAATAGATCGATGCTCACTCACTCACTCACTGTGTAACGTGTTAAAGTCTTCTGTAAAAAGTCGATACAAGAGTGCCACATTGATCGAAAGTAGACATGAATGGAGAGCAGTAATAGTGAGTAAAACATAGTTCCGTCAGCGTGGATTATATTTCTGACAATGTATTTCATGAATAATGTATTTATGCAGAGTAAGCAATATTTCCGACAGCGAGTGCGTTATTCATCTATTCATTTAGGAAATATCCCGAGAACTCGTTAATAAATTAACCCCCAGTATCTGAATGGAAATATCTTTCAACAATGACTGAGTAAGTGAGTTCAGTTTTATGCCGCTTTTAGCAATATTTCAATATCACGGCGGGGGACAACAGATATGGGCTTCACACATTGTAACCATGTGGGGAATCGAACCCGTGTCTTCGACGTGACGAGCGAACGCTTTAACTACTAGGCTACCCTACCGCCTTTTTCAACAATGAGCAAAGGAGCATAGCAGATTATATACTATATAGTGTGTAACTGTGTAACTGGGGGTTACTGGTAAGAGACAAACGAGACAGTTTATCAGGATCCTTGACTTTTTATGCATATAAAAGTATCGCGGAGACGATCGATGCTCTTGATGCCGATCACTGAATTGTCTGGAACATATTAGGCCACATAAAAAAATATTCTTGTTTCTCATCTCTTTTTAAAAAAAAGTATGGCTCGGGCGGGCGAATTATATTTTTACTTTTTATTTTATGTCCACTAAACCCTGGATTTCTGTGTAAATTTACAGCTTTTCTCCTATAGAAAATCAAAACTTAGAAGTGTGAAAATTTCATGCACATTTTGAGAGTCAAAGTTTCTCCAGTGTAAAATTTATTTTTAAATCAGAGGGTCGGGTCGAATTTTGGGTCGGGCGGTAATGAGAAACAAGAATATTGTTATATATGGCCTTAATCAAATATCGCGGCGTTTTACAAACACACAATAACCAAAAACGTTTCCTTTACTCATTAATCAATTAACTCACAGTATCTTAATCGAAAAGTAATTCACTATGAAATAACGATATGCACTGTATCGAAATGTGTATACTAAATATTGTGTAACTGTGACCTTTGTTAAGACAAAGGGTGTGTATGTGTGTGAGTGAGTTTAGTTTTACGCCGCACTCAACAATATTCCAGCTATATGGCGGTGGTCTGTAAATAATCAAATCTGGACCAGACAATCCAGTGGTCAACAGCATGAGCATCAATCTGCGCAATTGGGAACCGATGACATGTGTCAACCAAGACAGCGAGCGTGACCACCCGATCCCGTTAGTCGCCTCTTACGACAAGCATGGGTTACTGAAGGTTCATTCTAACCCGTACCTTCACGGGTCAAGACAAAGGGATTGAATGAACAATGAACTTAAGCCATAGCGTCCCTGCTGACGCATTACCGCGTCACACCGACGGATATATAATATAAGTCATCCTTCCTATCGCATCTTCAAGTGATTTCCCGCTACAGCACGTTCCCGTTGCAGGCAGTACGCAGTTTTTGAGAAAACAAGGCGAGTTTGGGAGTATTCCCTAGAGAGGAGGGCTACAGTGGTCCCCCATGAAGATCCGAATCAAATTAGGTGTTCATGATCTGTGCGTATCAAGAGGCTACTAAGTGGCTCGGATGGTCAAGCTTCCTGACTTCGTTGTCATGACATCCTATCCTAGTCGCGATGGTCACTATATCAATCACTGGATTGTCTGGTCTTTTTAAATAGAATTTTTCCACTGCTTCGTTAAACAACAAACAAACAAAACAGTACAGGAAAACGTTTTAGGTCAGATCCCGTTAATTCGGAAATCCCCTTCCGACACGTTATTGATGTTAAAGTATATACGGAATGGACGCCAAATGTATAGGTCAGACATAATAATAATAATACTGAAAATTTATATAGCGCTAAATCCAACCACTACGTGGGTGCTTATAGCGCTACAAAATAATAATAATACAGACCTGATAATATTGTCAATGAGTGAGTGAGTTTAGTTTTACGCCGCACTCAGCAATATTCAAGCTATATGGGGGCAGTCTGTGAGTGTGAGTGAGTGAGTTTAGTTTTACGCCACACTCAGCAATATTCCAGCTATATAGCGGCGGTTTGTAAATAATCAAATCTGGACCAGACAACCCATTGATCAACAGCATGAGCATCGATCTACGCAATTGGGAATGACATGTGTCAACCAAGTCAGCGAGCCTGACCACCCGATCTCGTTAGTCGCCTCTTATACGACAAGCATGGGTTACTGAAGGCCAATTCTAAAACGGATCTTCGCGGGTTACTTTGTCAGTGGCACGTCATAGGATCCCGACGGCGTTGCTCGTTCCTCAAATATCAGTCAATTAGTTGAGAGACTATTCATACATGTGTTTGGCTGGAAATTGAGTGCTGCGTAAAACAAATTACACTCTGCTTTATCCGGACGTTTCTTCAATCCAACGATTTCGCTTTAAAGCGACTAACGGATTAAAGGGATATTCAAGTACTGTGTATTTACAACAACAAAATTGAAAAAACAAAACAACTAATCTATTTTGTTCACTGGGCAGTGTGCGAAATAGCCACTGACCCGCTAGCCCGTGGCTAGTAAAAAATCCAGTCGGGCCAGTAAATCTCCAGTCACTGGCTAGTGAATTCTCAGGGGTCATTTTATAAATACATCACTCTCTCCGACTTGTTAAGTTATAATACACTTTTAAATCATGCAAGATTATGGTCTGATAAAAATGTTCATCATATTAGCAGCTTAATGACGAAACCCGTGTCTACATTCAAATTTCGGACTAGTGAATTATTTTGTTGGCTAGTAACTTTCAGGCATAGCTAAGCCGACTTGCACACTCTCACTGGGTGTGTCTTTCACTTAGTTTCCCTCTTATGAGTATGGATGATACAAGATATATTTTTCTCACAGGTTTTTTTAAATAGAATTTTATTTTGGCGAACGTGTCTGAATTTTATGTCTCGATAGAGATCACAATACAATTGGTTAAAACAGTGACCATATAATAGAAATATTGAATTTCCTTTCGGGATCGTTACAAGGGATCTGTTTTTTTAATCATGAGGGACGGTGGGGTAGCCTAGTGGTTAAGCGTTCGCCCATCACGCTGAAGACCCGGGTTCGATTCCCCACATGGGTACAATGTGTGAAGCCAATTTCTGGTGTCCCCCGCCGCGATATTTCTAAAGCGGCGTAAAACCATACTCGTTCACACACTTTAAAATCATGATTCAAGACGTTTTTGAAATCCCTTCGCGTCCTGCATTTGAAACAGTCATATTGTGTTACACATCGACGATGTTGCCAGATTCGTTTTACTTTTTCATTGAAAGATTTAACAGAGGCAACCTGATGTGTCTTTTGATATCTTGAAGATGAGTTTAAGACGAGTATTGACTAGTTTTGATGTATTTCATGTCAAACGACATGAAGGTAAGATTATATTCATCATTCAAAATCAAAATCAATTTTGAAACTGTTGCAGTATGTAAACAGTATTCGGCAATAAACAGTATATATTTAGTGTCAAAAGAAAACCAGATTTCAGTGGTTGCGAAATTAGTGACGTCATTGTATTATGACGCCATACTAGCCGATGACGTCACAATGTTCTGCGACGCATTATAATTGCAATTTTATAAGGACTGTTATATCCCGTGGAAGCCCGTTTGGGGAAATGATATAAGGGTAATGCTATTTTTGAGGGCATTATCATTTGCAGAAGCCCGCGGTCTTCCATTAACTGCCCGACGAAGGAGGGCAGTTGAAAAAGACCGAGGGCTTCTGCAAATGATAATGCCATCAAAAATAGCAGTACCGTTATTATTGCTAAAATACATGGAATTGGTGTTGAAAAGAAAAAGGAAACAATGAAGGAATTTGACTGTAAGTTTACTCAAAACCAACTTCTGACGGGGTTGACTGCCCGAATGCAATTACGTCATCGAACAATTCAAGTGACGATATTCGACCTTGGCCTTTGACAAGACCATAGTCTGCAACATGTCAAACTATGTCAGTGTTCGGTTTTGGTCCAACAACAACGTTAATAGTGCAATTGTTAAGGTTAGCACCAGCAAGAAAGCCAATATTTAAGCTATTTAAAGCGGGAATTCGGGTTGCTTTGACTTGTTGACCCAGTATATCTGCCACTCCAAAGCCAATGTCGAAAGAACCGACGCACCCACTATGACGTCACTTGACAACAGAACTGATAGTGGCCCGTCGTTAAGGTTGAGCGGTCCAATACCTTTTTCAGCGGCCCTCAAATTTCTGATAAAAGGAGGGCGGTTTCATGATAAGTCCATGTGTTTTAGCTATAATTATTGTTATTGAGTCTAGTTATTGAATCAGCATGAGGTCTCATGCTGATTTTACCAAACGGGTATTAGAACTCTTGCTTTCGTTAGTCTGATCAGGGAGACTAAATAAGGTCTGAACCCAGGGCAAACTGTAGCGCAAATAGGGTTGCGCAGCAGACAGAAATGTGCTACAGTTTGCCTGTGGTCTGATACAGTTGTTCATTCGTTTCATAATATTGGTATTAGTACTCTTTTACAATTCTGTATTTATTGGTGCCTTAAAGATTCCAAGGAACTGTCATGATTGTTCGTATTTCGCATGGAAAATATGTGATTGAACCCTGGTACTGTAATCAGTATAATGCGAAAATCATAATCATGTGATGTGAAATTGGGTTTAACGTCGTGCTTGAGAATATTTCGCTCATATGACGACGTGCATGCGTGTATGTGCGGCTGCTTGTACTAGCCCAGACTTAAGCTGGTTTTATAGTGCTAGCCCACTGAGATACCACGTCGCAGTGAAGCATGAATACCCCACTCAGACACATTATACTGACTCCGAGCAGACCAGTCCTTGTTGTACCCAATAATGCCGAGCGCCAGGCAGGGACCAACAAGTACCATATTTTAACGTCTTTTGGTATGACGCGGTCGGGGATCGAACCCGCGACCTTCCGCTCTCCGGGCGGATGCTCTAACCACTACACCACGGACGCGGTCCATAATCATGTGAGTGATTCATAATTAATAATAATAAGAAGCATTTCTTCATTAGACAGAACTCGCAAAATAAAGCGGAAGGCACAAAATCTCCATAAAATCATTATTACAAATGTGCCTTAGAATGTTTGTGGTTTTTTTGTGTGACTCTTTCATATTGAGCCACAAAACAAAAACACGATCACGACTCGATATTTCGGATGGAAATAACATTATGAGAAGAGTAAAACACGCCATATAAACGTGTATTTATTTATTTATTTTTTATTTTATTGTTTAGATAAAAAAAAACTACAACAATAATTTCCTAATTTGCCCCATCCAAAGTAATTCATCTAAACTTGTGCAAAATTTAAACCCCGCAGTCCCGCATTAATATAGCCTTGACATTTAACCTTTCCCATGGGGCAATTCTCTTTGGTATGGGTTTTTCTAATCCCGACTCTGCGCTGTCATCTTTCAAATGTATATACATAGACGGTATCCCAGTATTCCCCAGGAATCGAAAGTCGGGGAATCCCCCGGTTCTTGTAACTCGGTCCCAGATACCAGGAAACCGTTAATGGTTTGTTTCGGAGAACCTCAAATCGACATTTCGGTGTAGGAGGCAGAAATATTCAGACATAGTGTGACTCGAACGGCGATATCTCTAAGATATACTTGAGTTGGTTCAACAAAACAAATACAGTGAGCTGCTGGTGAACTGGGAGTCTATGCTGCGTTCGTGTTGGCTGTAACAGCAGCGTCCTCGCCAGGTAATAGTGAACAGTTATTGACTTGTGACGCAATTACCAGGATACAGGAATACATTCATGGTATAAGCACTGTCACGTGTTCTTTCAAGTAGTATGAAGCGTTTTTTGTCGTTAATTGATTGGTTTTGATGTGTGTCATTGTGATATGTGTGATTTATTGAATGTTGTTAAATACCGATATTCAGTCAAAATATGGTCAGTTTTACAATAGGAACTGATTTTGAAATGCTACGATACTGTAGCGGGTAGGTTTCTCAGACCGATAGAGCTATCAGATACATAACGTATCGATTGAGATCATTTACGAATAAATATGCAAATATGAGAGGTCACGTAGGCGCATTGTTTACCAACAAATATACCATGCTTGCCTGCCATTGGTTGTATTGATAATTTGGGGCCTGGACAATTTGCTTGGATAATTGTTATTGATTATTAGATACCAAAGTTAGTGAGTTTTGTAATGTGAATAAATAAAGGAAATTGTGTTATTGTACAATATTAGCCATGACATTTTTAAATTTTTATACAGTTGGTATTTTGAATAATGAAAAAGGGAACATTTGTTGTCTTTAGTAGGACTGGCTAAAAGATTGATAATTGGAAATATCATCACTGAAATCATTATTAATGATTATTGATATGAAAATTGTGTAGTCTATGATATCATACATGAATTGTTGTGATGAAATACACACACAATACATTGGTCTTATTCATTGGCTGCTCCTACAGTATGTTTTGTTGGTACATATGTTGCCACTCACTACTGATGTGACCGCCTTCGTGGTGTAGTGGTTAGAGGTCCGCCCGGAGTGCGGAAGGTCGCGGGTTTGATCCCCGACTGCGTCATACCAAAAGACGTTAAAATGTGGTACTTGTTGGTCCCTGCCTCGCGCTCGGCATTAATGGGTACATCAAGGACTGGTCTGCTCGGGAGTCAGTATAATGTGTCTGAGTGGGGTATTCATGCTTCACTGTGGCATGGTATCTCAGTGGGCTAGCACTATAAAACCAGCTTAAGTCTGGGCTAGTACAAGCAGCCGCACATACACATACACACGCATGCACTTTGTCATATGAGCGAAATATTCTCAAGCACGACGTAAAACCCAATTTCACCACCACTACCACCACTACTGATGTGAAATATGTTGATTTCTTTCAGATTATATAGTCAGTTTTGCTTAAAGTTACTTCTCTGATATATGATCGATAATCAATCGATATTCATTTAACGATAATCGTTCTCTATGATCTTTATCGATAGCTAGCCCTAGTCACTAGCATCATCTGGGTTCAAATGTCAGCTTCTCAGCAGGTCAACCTAAATTCCTGTTGCTATACTGATAGAAAGAAAATGAAAATAGGTACAGGTTTTGCAGTAATCTGGACTTGCTATATATGATTGCTTGTATGGACTGTACATAGAACCTGTATATATGTTATGCGCAGAGCATGTCCCTGAGTGATGTAGATGAGGCACTATAAAAGTACTCTTATTATTTATTATTATTATTGGGGGCGGTGGGGTAGCCTAATGGTTAAAGCGTTGGCTCGTCACGCCGAGGACCCGGGTTCGATTCCCCACATGGTGGTGTCCCCAGCCGTGATGTTGCTGGAATATTGCTAAAAGCGGCGTAAAACCAAACTCAGTCAGTCAGTGTTATTATTATTGGATGTATTTGTTTCAGTGTCTGCAGGACTAAGTCCCCAAAATAACATGATTGTCCATGTTTCTTTGAGCATATTTCACATTTCTTAATTTATACAAAGGGGAATACATGATACGTTTTATGTATAACAACTTCTTTTGTATTCTTTACACAATGTTTCCATCCAGGATTTGAACCCACACTGTCAGAATCAGGCACCTAATTTCCAGCACACAAAGTCAGACCCCTTGAGGAAGCTGTGGTAGCTTTGTGGGTTAGGCATCTGACTTTCTGTGCTTCATATGATGCCTGACTCTGAGGGTGTGGGTTTGAATCCCAACAAAAGTACTAGAATCTGTACTTTACTGAGCAAGTGAATCCCAAATATATCGTATGTTACAACAGTTTTTACCCAGTGTTTCCATTACAGCTTGCATACCTCAATGTCTGTAAAAAACAATCACGATGATGATGATGATGATGATGATGATGCCAACAGAAACAATTATGGCAATAATAATGACAATAATAAAATGGCATATATGGCTCCAGCTTCCAATCACCAGGTATATATGCATGGTCAATGGAGCAGTATGCTCTCAGTTTTCATTCTAAGAGACCCAGGGAGTATACAACTGAAATAGCCTTGTCTGGTGCTAGAAGGTTCAGAGTATATCAGGGCTCCAGATAAGGGCCGTATCGGCGTATGTACGGATAAAAATATGCACGATACGGTAGGAAATAATTTAGAAAACGTAGCAGATACCACAGCAATGGTGTACGGTCTTAGAATCATTTACAGACGTATTTATCTGAAACATTATTGATTAATTGTTTATTGACCTGTTTACACAAGAGTAGTAATGTTGTGGTGCATATATGAAACGAAACACACGATTACTGATACTCCATTAAATTCCATTCAGTAATCTAAATGTACTCTTAAGGTTTTCCAATACTGATTGAAAAAATAAGGAGTACGTACTCCTGATGTTGAAAAATTATCTGGAGCCCTGTATATCAAATAAAGTGAAATTAAGATTGCGAATCCTCACAATTTTACCTTGCCAATTGAACATTTAAATCTCAGAATTTTATTCAACTTAGGATAACATTGTTTAACAAACAATCATAGATTTAAATCGCTATTATTGGTTTGTATTACAAGAGGATAAGCGCAGTAGTTGGAACAGTGAAACAAATGCACATGCAGTACGTGATGAGCGTTAACTTAGACCAACCTGACTTGTCCTCGGTGTTTCATTTAATGCTGCAAAACTATCAACACCAAAATCGTCCACAAGGACAAAACTTTGGACACCAAAAACAACAGCGAGGACAAAACTCTCAGCACCAAACTTGACCACTAGGACAAAACTGTGGACACCCAAAACAACCACAAGGGCAAAATGATCAACACCAAATCGATCAGTAGGACAAAACTCGCAGCACCCAAATCGATCAGTAGGACAAAACTTTGGACACCAAATCCAACAGCAACGACAAAACTCGCATCACCCAAATCGATCAGTAGGACAAAACTTTGGACACCAAAACTGACCACTGACGAAACTGTGGACACCAAAACTGACCACTGACAAAACTGTGGACACCAAAACTGACCACTGACAAAACTGTGGACACCAAAACTGACCACTGACAAAACTGTGGACACCAAAACTGACCACTGACAAAACTGTGGACACCAAAACTGACCACTGACGAAACTGTGGACACCAAAACTGACCACTGACAAAACTGTGGACACCAAAACTGACCACTGACGAAACTGTGGACACCAAAACTGACCACTGACTAAACTGAACTGACCACTGACAAAACTGTGGACACCAAAACTGACCACTGATCTAAACTGTGGACACCAAACTGACCACTGATCTAAACTGTGGACACCAAAACTGACCACTGATCTAAACTGTGGACACCAAAACTGACCACTGACAAACTGTGGACACCAAACTGACCACTGACAAAACTGTGGACACCAAAACTGACCACTGACAAAACTGTGGACACCAAACTGACCACTGACAAAACTGTGGACACCAAAACTGACCCACTGATCTAAACTGTGGACACCAAAATGACCACTGACTGAAACTGTGGACACCAAAAACTGACCACTGATCAAACAGTAGACACCAAAACTGACCACTGATCTAAACTGTGGACACCAAAACTGACACCAAAACTGTGGACCAAAACTGACCACTAACGAAACTGTGGACACCAAAACTGACCACTGACGAAACTGTGGACACCAAAACTGACCACTGACGAAACTGTGGACACCAAAACTGACCACTGACAAAACTGTGGACACCAAAACTGACCACTGACGAAACTGTGGACACCCTAAATGATAACATATGAGGAATACTCAGTGACTGAATAATATCTGAAGCATTGTTGATAGCAGCATATAAAATGCCAAGATATTGTTAAACCAGCTGTGGAAAACATTATGTTGTAACTCAAGCTTCTTGCTATGGAAACCCTTTGTGCATCTCCAGCTGACTGTGAGCTGGATTCATTGGGACCCTAAATTGATAGTGCTGTTAAACTATATGTCATGAATGGATTAATGTTGCATTGATATTCGTGGAACAATAACTCCATTCTATGACGAGGAAATAAAAGTCTTCAATTTTACATAAAATATCTTGCAATATTTTAATTTGCAAATTATTAGCCTTTCAGAAGTTAATGGTGTAATGGTTTTTATCTGGTTTTTATGGTAAGGCAAAATTATACAGTTGTTGGTGGTGATGGTGAATTCCTGGGAAATCATGCAGGAGACAGGTGTATTTTAAGTCACTGTGGGTCGGTAGTCTGTGAAGCTTTAATACCACAAAGCCAAACTGGGCTTTTCACATCACTGTTTGCTTGCTAGTTTGTTTGTTTGACACCGCACTCAGCTATATTCCAGCTGTATGATGTTGATCACTGGATTGTCTGGTCCAGACTCGATTATTTACATTTACAGACCGCCGCCATGTAGCTGGAATATTGCTGAATGCGGCGTAAAACTAAACTCACTCACTCACTCTTACGACAAACATGGGCTCCTGAAGACTAATTGTAACACAGATTCACAGATCACATCACTGTCAGCAGTGTTGTAAACTCCCCAAAATTTCAGCCAGACAACTGTGCCCGGGATCATGAAAAAATCTTAAGTCTAAAATTAGCTTAGCACAAAAAAATCTTAAGTCTAATTTTTTTTGCTTAGCTAAGATTTTAGATAAGACTGGATCATGAAACTGTCTCAGCCAAATCTTAGCTAAGACTAAGACTAAGACAGTTACCATGGCAATTTTAGAATGATGTAATCATGTCCGGTCACTCTTAAATAATTGAGGAGAATAGTTTAGTAGCAGGCACCTGCTGAAATGTTCCAAACAAGTCAACTGGACGCTTTTATCCCTGCCAGCGGTGACTTTTAGTGTCTTTAAGGTTGGGATATTTTCTAAATACACCAACACTTAAGCCTAACTTAAATGCTTTTCTGCCATATTGCATTGATAGTGTTTTCAAAATCACGTTTAGCGAAGGCCGGTATTGAGACGCTATTACATCAATGATATTTCCTATTCAGCTGTGACAAATACATCACTGAATTCCTCATACATTTTAGTATCAAATAAGAAATGGTCCTTGTCACTAAAACCAAGTGTCTAGGTGATATGAAACGAACGCTGTGTGCGAAAGACAGCACTTGTTGAAATGTAAACAAAGAAACATTGAGACTTTACACTGTGTACTGCATTTTCTCAAATTTCAGACACCCATTCGTCTATTCGTAGCATGCATAGGCTCAATACTTTTAGAACATACATGGAAATAGTATCGTAGCAAAAAATAATAGATACAATACAGTAATGTGATATGTTTATACGAAATTGTCAAAGTTTCTGTGCAGCGTAACGCCATGACTGACGGAAAATCTCGCAGAACAACAACGGTAATGATCGGCATATCTGGCTTCTTCTCTTACTTACAATGAAAACGATAAAACATACACAGATAGTCAGAATCATTCTGATTACTCACATCACACATTTATGTGCAAACGATCCCCGAATCAAAGGAAAGGTCCTCGCCAAATCCTGTATACCCATGTCACCCGGTTTCATTTTGTAAGAAATCGGTCAACGGTTGTGATGTCATATACGCCAACATTGTTGTTACATATTTGGCAATTTCTTTGAGGTGAAGGTCGGTCGAATAAGAGTAAACACAATCGCCATGTTCCACCGATTACACTTTCAGTGTATATTTTGAGTATCTTTCAGATATTTTTTCATGAAACTATTCATTATCTACATTTAGCCTTGTTCTATATCATATCCTTGGATATAGGGTATACGGTTTTCATTCTTTCAAGGGTTTTGTTTCTTTGAATAATATTTACATAAGAAATTGATATACTGAGTGTAGTACACCATATTTTAAACCCTTAAGCACGTGTTAAAAGAACAAACGAAGGCGTAACTGCAACATGTACTTAAATAGTTCATGTATCATGTGCAATATTCGCCATTCGGACCAATATGACAGTTGCAAATGAACAGGTTATGAATAGCGATTTAACTTTCATGACCCCGGGGCCAGGGGTTGTGAAATATTCTTTTTAATTTACGTCAAATTGATGCCAAACAGGTGCGTGTGTTGTTCATATTAAGAAACAAAGTCAAACCGTCTAATTATGGATCTACTCAGGACATTATTTACATGGTAAAATCAGTCATTTTAAATTCTGTCACAAGAGTGTTAAATTCAGACATAGAAACCGAAACCTTTTACACAATTCATGGAAATTATGTGAGATATATACTGATCAGCTGACCAGTGTCATTTTTTTCCGACGTCGCAAAATACATAAAACAAGCAATGACTTCAACTACAATTTTGTAATCTTTTCAGTAATTTCATTATATTTGAAGTTATGGCTAGTACTCAGTAAGTAATGATGCAAAATCAGTCAAAATACATCTACACAAACAGGAGAATATGTGAATTTAAGAACTACTTTACATATCGGATAGGGCCATCCAAATCGCTTTTACGTGCTTTCTCATGTAGTACATTGCCATCTTTTCTTATAACTTGTGAAACTACTAAAACGTCTCCGCCACATTGGGGAACTTTGTATTGAATACATGTAGTTTGGTTCACGGTGAACAAAACATAAGGAAAATATAGCGTCCCGTGTATCCACAATCGAATTCTCTCCAAGTGATATGAGTTACATTGACCTAGTGTTAAGCATAGCGGCGTTATGCCCCCTTATCTTTATACGCTTATGACCTCTGTCGTCCTTTGACGTCATAGAAGAAAATCCATGTTTGACATTTATTGCGAGTCATTTTTAATGGTGAGCGTATAACGTTATGCATAAGCAAATAAACCCATTTCATATATACTTATGTCGTTCAGATATCAGGCTGTAATTTATTCGCCACACTTTCTGTAAAGATGCCAAATTAAAAAATCGTGGCTCAGTGCTTTTACCGGTGCACGATCAAAAGTGGAGAAATTTACTGTTTTTGAATGCATAGCAAAATTTTGGACATCATTTAGCAGTGTTAATTTCTCAAACCGCCGAGGTATTTGCATTTATACTTATACCAACGGATAGGAAATTTAATATTCCACAGTTCTGTGTAATTTTATAGCTGTACGCAGATCCAGGACCACGAGAGCGCAAATCACGCACAACGTTCACTTTTCAAACATTATGAAATTGTGCGCCTAAAAAAAGAAATCGGCATCAAAAAGGACTTAAGACTGCTAGGTAGCAGTCTCAGGATTTAAGACAAAAAATGATCTCAGTCTTAACTTTTAAGACTAAAAAATGTACGTGATCCCCGATTTAAGACAATTTTTTGGACTTAAGATCAAAATGACAGACTTAAGCAAATTTTAGACTTAAGTCACTTTCATGACCCCGGGGCCTGGCCCCGATTTCTCGAAACAAACTTAAGTCTGAGTTTTGACTTAAGTCTGAGTTTTTACTCAAATTTGAGAAAACGCAGGAACATGCATTTCCCAGAATAAACTGAAATCAATATTAAACTGAAACTTAGTAGACTTAGTAGTTTGGTGGATAGATTACTTAAGTTGTTTGGGCTTTTTTTATTTAAAAAATGCACTTGAGTTAAAAATTCAGCTGTTTCAAATTGTCAAACTCAGTTTGAAATTTGAGTAAAAACTTAAGTTTGTTTCGAGAAATCGGGGCCAGGTCTGGTAACTCTCGAAAGTTACCAGACCGGGTGGAAAGTTGCCAGTCCCGAATTTTCTGGATTAAGAAAAATAAAAAAGAAGGTTACGTTAATAAGAGGAGGGAACTGTTTAATGTCAGGTTATTGTCACAATAACACATGTTTTCAAATGTTTTTCAGTCAAGGCTTTATTCATTATATACATTACAAAATTACACTGATTTAACAGCCAGACCATCGGGCTTGCAACTGTTTAAACTGACCGTCCGGTCGCAAAACAGTCCGTCCCGGGCGGTCGGTCAGGCGGGAGTTTGTAACACTGCTGTCAGTGAATCTTAGTGTTATGGACCAACATTTTCTCTGATTGCTGGACCACGCAGATTGGTCTTGTTACCAAAGACATAGATAAGTTAAAGAACCATCTATAGCCAGTATAGATAGTAATTGAAGCTATGTAATGATCAAATATTGATGCAGGATAACAAGATATGGATGAACAACTTCTTTATTACTGAGAGACACATTTTCATATCAGATATTGGTTCAACTGTGGCTAGTATTTTATGTGAAAAAAGCGGGATATTGAGTGTCCATAATTTCTGTCTCTTGTATGTATATGCCTTCAACAACCAGTTGGCATTGCAGTATCTCTGAAATGATACTGACCTGTGAACGTCCGGGTTAGAATATTGGCCTTCAGTAACCCATGCTTGTCGTAAGAGGCGACTAATGGGATCAGGTGGTCAGGCTCGCTGACTTGGTTGACACACGTCATCGGTTCCCAATTGCACAGATCGATGCTCATGCTGTTGATCACTGGATTGTCTGGTCCAGACTCGATTATTTACAGACCGCCGCCATACAGCTGGAATATTGCTGAGTGCGGGTGTAAAACTAATCTCACTCACTCACTGAAATGCTCCTGATACAATCCCTCATACTCTCAATGACACACACTTGATCGTTGCACATTTCACAATTACTTTCAGTTGTACTTTCTGGAATAATTTCCTGGTCTGGATTTTGTTTTGGTTGTTTAACACCACATTCAACAATATTCTAGCTGTATGATGGCTTTCTGTAAATAATCAAATTTGGACCAGACAATCCAGTGATCAATATCACGAGCCTCGATCTAGGTGATTGGGATACAATGATGTGTCAACCAAGTCAGCGAGTCTGACCACCCGATACCGTTAGTCGCCTCTCTTGACAAGCATAGGTTGTGGAAATTCTAACCCGGGTCTTCATCAGTTTCCTGGTTAGGAAGTTGTGTATATAATGAGAGTGGTTTGTTTACAAATATTATCAAGGTTGCATCATTGCTCACATACCAGTGTTCAAAATAAGGAGCAGGTGGGGTAGCCTAGTGGTTAAAGTGTTCCTTCGTCATGCCGAAGACCAGAGTTCAATTCCCCACATGGTTACAATGTGTGAAGCCCATTTCTGGTGTCTCCGTGAAATTGCTGGAATATTGCTAAAAGTGGCGTAAAACCAAGCTCTGTCACTCAGAACAAGCACCTGCAATAGGCTCATTGCAGGAACATTTGCATATTTATCAGTGACTTACTGTAGGGCTGGCTAAAATCATCAATAATTGAAAATATTGTTGACAGAAATTGTTAGTGATCATCGATATGAAAATTATGTTAGCAATAATATCGTTCAGTGACTATTGGGTTAGGAAAAAGTTACAATTTTCTCACCCAATATACAAAGTTAGGACTTCAGTCACAGTCTGCTTCTAAATTATGTTCAGGAAGCTATTTTGTTAATAATCCATGCAAAAACATGTCACCACAATCGAGTGCCAGTCAATCAGCTGAGCCAGTAGACAGAGTAGAGGTCCAGTCATTGGGGGATCATGAACTGCAGTCAAATCCCAATGTCTCGAATCGCTGGGGACCAAGTAATAAATTCGACTTATCGCTGTATTCGAGACATAGGTATGTCTATGAGGGTAGAAAAAATGATGATCCAGTCCTAATTCCTCCGCCTAAGCATTTGTTTATCTAATGATTTCCATATCACTAGTAGGGACAACTTTTCAGTTCCAGTCTGATTAGCACAGACAGTGATTTCCGTAAAATCACTAATCTGCCTTTTGAACTCACCCATCAATGGCGGAAAGGTGTGAGCCGCGCTGGTTTGTTAATTGGATCAGTTTGCTACACCGATCAACTTCTCATTGACTTCGGCTTATGTATACAAGATTGCTGTTGTTTGAATCTCATGGGACCAAATTTACTTCTCGAGTCATCGTGTGTATTTATGAGACGAATTCGTATAACCGGTATTCAAATGATGACAATTATAACAGGGAATGGTCGGGACCGACAGGTACTTCGAGTTATGCATAATATTCGAGACACCGGCATTCGACTCATCGGGATTTGACTGTACCTATTTCTCAGTGTCACCTGCTTGCAGGGTGGTGGGGTAGCCTTGTGGTTAAAGCGCTTGCTCATCACACTGCAGACCAAGTTCTATTCCCCACATGGGTACTATGTTTGAAACCCACTTCTGGTGTCCCCTGCCGTGATATTGCATGAATATTGCTTTGCTACAAGTGACATAAAACTATACTCACTCACTCACCTTGCAGACACATTGTGGCAATGTCGTGGCAAGAGATCAGAGAACAGCTTCAGCAGAACTTGGACCAACCTCTTAGCAACCAACTATGTCAGCTGTACAACCAACTACACATACCGATGATTATACGCCGCAAGTATGCTCGCTGGTTCGAGGACAATATCTGGTGAGTGGTGTCATCGCTTTTGAGGACTTTTTGCTGCTTCTTATTCACTTTTCTGTTGTCACCTCGACTTGCAGCTGTTTTAATACACTTCCCATGAGAGTACCTTCGAAAACTTTGCTGATGGCTTTCAAAGGGTACAGTGTCACTAAATATGTTTTTATTGTGTCACAACATCCATGATACTGTTTTTATAGTGCTACAATGTCGCTAAATATTTTAAAGTGCTGCAGTGTCCATAAATTTTATTCGTTTTCCTTGTTCCCGGTCTCAACACTTGATGCAGGAGGCATAGAATATATAGCACTCAGACATCAGCAGATATTTAGATCACTTTGTGTTCTTCTAAAAAGGAACTTGATTCCTTTGTGATTCACTTGAAACTTTAAAACACATTTCAAAATGCATGTTAGAAGATTTGCATGAAACCCCTACCAAATCACAATAGCAAGATAATATTTCATAAACATGCTTAACTATATGGCAAAATGTGTGTAGCTACTGCATGTTGAAATCTATTTTCTATCAATAATGCAGCTCCAGAATAGCTAGCCGGTATATTTCGACAGATATTTAGAAAAGGAAAAAAATATTTATATGTATTTATTATCATTATGAGGTGATTATCAGTTCACTTACAGAATTGATGATGATGCTGATGAGGATGATGATATGATGTGAGGTGGTGGTGGTTGTGTGTATGTTGAACATTTATTGATGTTGTGATGGTGTGACTGTAGTGGATGGTATGATGATGATGATGATGATGATGATGATGATGATGATGATGATGTATTGATGAGGTGATGGTGTGGTTGTGTTGGACGATAATGGTGGTGATGGCAGAGTCCATGTATACCGGTATATGATGATGATGCTGATGATGATGTATTGATGAGGTGATGGTGTGGTTGTGTTGGACGATAATGGTGGTGATGGCAGAGTCCATGTATACCGGTATATGATGATGATGATGATGATGTATTGATGAGGTGATGGTGTGGTTGTGTTGGACGATAATGGTGGTGATGGCAGAGTCCATGTATACCCGGTATATGATGATGATGATGATGATGATGTATTGATGAGGTGATGGTGTGGTTGTGTTGGACGATAATGGTGGTGATGGCAGAGTCCATGTATACCGGTATATGATGATGATGATGATGATGTATTGATGAGGTGATGGTGTGGTTGTGTTGGACGATAATGGTGGTGATGGCAGAGTCCATGTATACCGGTATATGATGATGATGATGATGATGATGTATTGATGAGGTGATGGTGTGGTTGTGTTGGACGATAATGGTGGTGATGGCAGAGTCCATGTATACCGGTATATGATGATGATGATGATGATGTATTGATGAGGTGATGGTGTGGTTGTGTTGGACGATAATGGTGGTGATGGCAGAGTCCATGTATACCGGTATATGATGATGATGATGATGATGATGTATTGATGAGGTGATGGTGTGGTTGTGTTGGACGATAATGGTGGTGATGGCAGAGTCCATGTATACCGGTATATGATGATGATGATGATGATGTATTGATGAGGTGATGGTGTGGTTGTGTTGGACGATAATGGTGGTGATGGCAGAGTCCATGTATACCGGTATATGATGATAATGATGATGATGTATTGATGAGGTGATGGTGTGGTTGTGTTGGACGATAATGGTGGTGATGGCAGAGTCCATGTATACCGGTATATGATGATGATGATGATGATGTATTTATGAGGTGATGGTGTGGTTGTGTTGGACGATAATGGTGGTGATGGCAGAGTCCATGTATACGGTATATGATGATAATGATGATGATGTATTGATGAGGTGATGGTGTGGTTGTGTTGGACGATAATGGTGGTGATGGCAGAGTCCATGTATACCGGTATATGATGATAATGATGATGATGTATTGATGAGGTGATGGTGTGGTTGTGTTGGACAATAATGGTGGTGATGGCAGAGTCCATGTATACGGTATATGATGATAATGATGATGATGTATTGATGAGGTGATGGTGTGGTTGTGTTGGACGATAATGGTGGTGATGGCAGAGTCCATGTATACGGTATATGATGATGATGATGATGATGATGTATTTATGAGGTGATGGTGTGGTTGTGTTGGGCGATAATGGTGGTGATGGCAGAGTCCATGTATACGGTATATGATGATAATGATGATGATGTATTGATGAGGTGATGGTGTGGTTGTGTTGGACGATAATGGTGGTGATGGCAGAGTCCATGTATACCGGTATATGATGATAATGATGATGATGTATTGATGAGGTGATGGTGTGGTTGTGTTGGACAATAATGGTGGTGATGGCAGAGTCCATGTATACGGTATATGATGATGATGATGATGATGTATTGATGAGGTGATGGTGTGGTTGTGTTGGGCCGATAATGGTGGTGATGGCAGAGTCCATGTATACCGGTATATGATGATGATGATGATGATGATGTATTGATGAGGTGATGGTGTGGTTGTGTTGGACGATAATGGTGGTGATGGCAGAGTCCATGTATACCGTATATGATGATGATGATGATGATGATGTATTGATGAGGGTGATGGTGTGGTTGTGTTGGGCGATAATGGTGGTGATGGCAGAGTCCATGTATACCGGTATATGATGATGATGCTGATGATGATGTATTGATGAGGTGATGGTGTGGTTGTGTTGGAATGATAATGGTGGTGATGGCAGAGTCCATGTATACCGGTATATGATGATGATGATGATGATGATGTATTGATGAGGTGATGGTGTGGTTGTGTTGGACGATAATGGTGGTGATGGCAGAGTCCATGTATACGACGGTATATGATGATGATGATGATGATGTATTGATGAGGTGATGGTGTGGTTGTGTTGGACGATAATGGTGGTGATGGCAGAGTCCATGTATACGGTATATGATGATGATGATGATGATGATGTATTGATGAGGTGATGGTGTGGTTGTGTTGGGACGATAATGGTGGTGATGGCAGAGTCCATGTATACGGTATATGATGATGATGATGATGATGTATTGATGAGGTGATGGTGTGGTTGTGTTGGACAATAATGGTGGTGATAGCAGAGTCCATGTATACGGTATATGATGATGATGATGATGATGTATTGATGAGGTGATGGTGTGGTTGTGTTGGACGATAATGGTGGTGATGGCAGAGTCCATGTATACCGGGTATATGATGATGATGCTGATGATGATGTATTGATGAGGTGATGGTGTGGCATTTGTGTTGGGCGATAATGGTGGTGATGGCAGAGTCCATGTATACCGGTATATGATGATGATGATGATGATGATGTATTGATGAGGTGATGGTGTGGTTGTGTTGGACGATAATGGTGGTGATGGCAGAGTCCATGTATACGGTATATGATGATGATGCTGATGATGATGTATTGATGAGGTGATGGTGTGGTTGTGTTGGACAATAATGGTGGTGATGGCAGAGTCCATGTATACCGTATATGATGATGATGATGATGATGTATTGATGAGGTGATGGTGTGGTTGTGTTGGACGATAATGGTGGTGATGGCAGAGTCCATGTATACGGGTATATGATGATAATGATGATGATGTATTGATGAGGTGATGGTGTGGTTGTGTTGGACGATAATGGTGGTGATGGCAGAGTCCATGTATACCGTATATGATGATAATGATGATGATGTATTGATGAGGTGATGGTGTGGTTGTGTTGGACAATAATGGTGGTGATGGCAGAGTCCATGTATACGGTATATGATGATGATGATGATGATGTATTGATGAGGTGATGGTGTGGTTGTGTTGGACGATAATGGTGGTGATGGCAGAGTCCATGTATACGGTATATGATGATGATGCTGATGATGATGTATTGATGAGGTGATGGTGTGGTTGTGTTGGACGATAATGGTGGTGATGGCAGAGTCCATGTATAACCGGGTATATGATGATAATGATGATGATGTATTGATGAGGTGATGGTGTGGTTGTGTTGGACGATAATGGTGGTGATGGCAGAGTCCATGTATACGGTATATGATGATGATGATGATGATGTATTGATGAGGATGGTGTGGTTGTGTTGGACAATAATGGTGGTGATGGCAGAGTCCATGTATACCGGTATACGATGCTGCTGATGATGATGATGTATTGATGAGGTGATGGTGTGGTTGTGTTGGACGATAATGGTGGTGATGGCAGAGTCCATGTATACCGGTATACGATGCTGATGATGATGATGATGTATTGATGAGGTGATGGTGTGGTTGTGTTGGACGATAATGGTGGTGATGGCAGAGTCCATGTATACCGGTATATGATGATGATGATGATGATGATGTATTTATGAGGTGATGGTGTGGTTGTGTTGGACGATAATGGTGGTGATGGCAGAGTCCATGTATACCGGTATATGATGCTGATGATGATGATGATGTATTGATGAGGTGATGGTGTGGTTGTGTTGGACGATAATGGTGGTGATGGCAGAGTCCATGCATACCGTACATATATGATGATGATGATGATGATGTATTTATGAGGTGATGGTGTGGTTGTGTTGGACGATAATGGTGGTGATGGCAGAGTCCATGTATACCGGTATATGATGATGATGATGATGATGATGTATTGATGAGGTGATGGTGTGGTTGTGTTGGACGATAATGGTGGTGATGGCAGAGTCCATGTATACCGGTATATGATGATGATGATGATGATGTATTGATGAGGTGATGGTGTGGTTGTGTTGGACGATAATGGTGGTGATGGCAGAGTCCATGTATACCGGTATATGATGATGATGCTGATGATGATGTATTGATGAGGTGATGGTGTGGTTGTGTTGGACGATAATGGTGGTGATGGCAGAGTCCATGTATACCGGTATATGATGATGATGCTGATGATGATGCATTGATGAGGTGATGGTGTGGTTGTGTTGGACGATAATGGTGGTGATGGCAGAGTCCATGTATACGGTATATGATGATGATGCTGATGATGATGTATTGATGAGGTGATGGTGTGGTTGTGTTGGACGATAATGGTGGTGATGGCAGAGTCCATGTATACCGGTATATGATGATGATGATGATGATGATGTATTGATGAGGTGATGGTGTGTGGTTGTGTTGGACGATAATGGTGGTGATGGCAGAGTCCATGTATACCGGTATATGATGATGATGATGATGATGTATTGATGAGGTGATGGTGTGGTTGTGTTGGGACCGATAATGGTGGTGATGGCAGAGTCCATGTATACGGTATATGATGATGATGATGATGATGATGTATTGATGAGGTGATGGTGTGGTTGTGTTGGACGATAATGGTGGTGATGGCAGAGTCCATGTATACCGGTATATGATGATGATGCTGATGATGATGTATTGATGAGGTGATGGTGTGGTTGTGTTGGACGATAATGGTGGTGATGGCAGAGTCCATGTATACCGGTATATGATGATGATGCTGATGATGATGTATTGATGAGGTGATGGTGTGGTTGTGTTGGACGATAATGGTGGTGATGGCAGAGTCCATGTATACCGGTATATGATGATGATGATGATGATGATGTATTGATGAGGTGATGGTGTGGTTGTGTTGGACGATAATGGTGGTGATGGCAGAGTCCATGTATACCGGTATATGATGATGATGATGATGATGTATTGATGAGGTGATGGTGTGGTTGTGTTGGACGATAATGGTGGTGATGGCAGAGTCCATGTATACCGGTATATGATGATGATGATGATGATGATGATGATGATGATGATGATGATGATGATGATCTCCTGCTCCAGGCCGGACGTGATGGAGGAGCAGAAGGCGTGCCGGCTGTACAAGGAGCTGATGAACTTCATGTCAGATGACATCGAGACACTGAAAGAGGACCAGGATCATGTTCTGGAGGCCGTGGAGATCGCCCACGCCAAGATGAAGATCAAGGTCAGAATACAGAGATGTTTCACAGGTGTTGTGCCCCTTGACCATGACAGAGTACAATGACTATGGCTTCAAGCTCTTGATCCTGGTTTGTTTCCAGCACCATACATGTTCTTGTTGATTTAAAAAACGTGGACTCCAGCCTCAATGAAAAAAACAGAACTGGCTGGCTTGGCGTCAGTAGTAACCAATCAGACAACGACTACTTGTTAGGGTTCGACGGGACTTACAAAATGGTTTTCGGATTTTTTCTTCTCTGGTCGCTGACACTGATCTATCAACCAACGAAAATCTGCATAAAACACAAATATTTGACCTGCAGTATATAGGCTTATGGGTTTATAATGACATGGTTACTATTTGCTTATATTTTCGCAAGATGACATCCTTGAATATTGACAAAAACGCTATTTTCAGCGACTGTTTACTCCACAGGGGTATTCGACTGTACATGAAAACAGGTTGTTGCACCTCGGCAACAACCCATTTTCCACTGTATAGTTTTACAGGGACCAACCAGGCTTCGCGTTCTCGGTAATTACAGACAAAATTTTGAACAGAATGGGCTGAAAGTTTGTGTGTCGACAGATGAAGCTTTCTTGTACCCTTAACCACTATATTTATGATGTGACATTCATTCATCCTCTTTATCGGGATGATGTACTGTTGCCTTTCAGGTCGCGTGATCGTGTCTTTTTCTTGACCAGAAAATGCTTTAACCATGAAGCTACTCCATCGCCCAAGTAACCACATTGCTATTTACATAAGTTATCTTAAACCCTCTCATGTAATGTATGAGGGGAGTGATAGAGAGAGTGAGTTTAGTTTTACACCACTTTTAGCAATATTCCAGCAATATTACGGTGGGGAACACCAGAAATGGGCTTCACACGCTGTACCATTGTAGGAATTCGAACCAGGTCTTCAAACTGATGACGAAGGCTTTAACCACTAGACTACCCACTAATGGTGGTCCGATTAATTGAAATAATCGAAGATTGGTCGCAGTGACCAAACGACCAAGCAATCGATCACATTTTCTCATAATCGAACATAAACGATTTTTGAACTACTTTTTTAGTCTTTGAAATACTTGACAATGGAACCTATCGTTGAAGTTGTCAGGGCCTGAAAACATGTTTAATTCATAGAAAACTCACTTCACTAACTGAAAAGCCATGACTGAATATTTCTTGAAGACTCCAGGAAGTTTATGTTCATGATATATAAGTCATCACTTTAAAGTAGCAAGTTGCATCATGTTATACATATCTGCAATAACAACCTGGATAGGAAAATCTGAAAAATGATGCTAACCAATATTTTTCGATGATTGTTCGTTGGTAATGAAGCAATCATCAATTGTGAGATTTCAACCAATTCCCAACACTACTTCCCACCGCCCAAATATACAAGGGGAGCTTGTTCCAAGATAAAGAGGTTGACTCAGATTTGATTATTTTCCAATTGCAGGAGTCCTTTGGCCAACACCCGACAGAATTTTTAAAAGCTGTCATTCATGCTTTGGATGACGAAAAGAAGATCATCTCAGGCTATAAGGTAAGAGCCGGGGATGGTAATATTTAGATTTTAGAAATCTAATCAACCATGCCTCACTACTGAAGTCAGTAAGAGAACTTGATATGAAATCTAACAAACAACGAAGAGATGGGATGTATAAAGTCATTTCATGATTGTAGCAATAAATACAATTGTGGTAATATTCACAGTGTGCGAAATAGCCGCTGGCTCGCTAGTCGGTAAAAATCCTGTCGGGCGAGTAAATCCCCACAGTCAATGGCCTCACTGGCTAGTGAATTTCCATGGGGTCATTTTGTAAACATATCACTCTCTCTTGTTAAGTTATAATACACTTTTAAATCATGCAGGATTATGGTCTGATAGAAATGTTCATCATATTAGCAGTTTTATGATGAAACCTGTGTCTACATTCAAATTTAGGACTAGTGAATTATTTTGTTGGCTAGTAACTGTCAGGCATAGCTAGCCCAACTGGCTAGCAAAATTTGGAAACTATTTCATACACTGAATATTCACGTCACTGCAACAACAGCCTACGCTGAATATCAGATTATAAGAATGACCTCCATACAATTTCTTGTCTTCTTCCCAGATAGCAAAGGTGTGTTGGGCCAATGTTGGTATATGGTTGGTTGGTTGGCCAACAGTTTGACAACATTGGCCCAACGTTATCTTAATGACTTAAAAGTAACGGTGGCTTTTGACATGTTGGTTCAACAGTGGGCCAACATTTGAAAAACTCTGCCTATTTTTCCTGATCTTACATCTATTTCAAAAAGTTGGGCCACCGTTGGCCCAACATTGTGAATAAAAGAGTGAGCACACGGCCATTTTTAGCAATGTTTTCTTATAAAGATTTTGATGAAAGTTGAAATAATTACACAGACAAAAGAAAGAATCCATTTCCTGTCTTTCAACTATGATGCAGTGAATTTTACAGTTGTTTTCTCCAAATTGAATACCAAACTTGTCATCATTGATAGCTTTACCTGATATTCAAAGAGCAGACGACACTACATTTCTGGAGGCCTTCAACTGGTAAATATGCATTGTTATTTCTGTGATACTGAATTGCGAATATATTGTGAAATAATTGGTTTAAATCATCATTTAGGCAAAAGAAACTGACACATACTGTATTGAAAGGCAATTGCTTATACAATTACACAATTGCTTATACATATACAACTCTCTCTATTATTCATCTTTACAACCAATAATTGCTAAACATCATCATATCAGATATATGTGTCACAGTTATAGTAGTTACACGTCATATCCAAATAACACATTATTTGAACAGCATTCTAGAAGTTGGTGAGTCCAAAATGAAACATACAACTCTATGGATGACAACTTCTTGTTTATTGTATAGAGCGATGTTTCGATGTAGATTCTTACACAGTTATCAAGCTAAAAGTGACTACAAGCAAATGATAAGAAGTATATATACATGTACAGAGTATGTTTTGTCAAATAAACATAATTTGGAGGCGCCAGTTGGGGACTAAGAACAACAAATGGATCTAGTGATGAAACCAATGGAACCACCTACAACATGTCTTCACGGGCCTCAACCAGTAACCCACCAACTCATAGTTTGTTTGATTTCATTTGAGACCAATGAATTGCTCACTAACACAAAATCTAAAAATTGCAAGAAAACCAAATTTTGCAGTCACATGAAACGACAGACCAATGAAGAACTAATCAAACTATAGACACTATCAAAGCACCCTATCAGCTTGTTGTTACAACTGAATCCCCCCCCTGTTTATTGGCTTCATCGCCATTCCATTTATTGTTCTTAGTCCCCATCTGGCCTCTCCCAATAATGTACCAGTTGTTATTCAATTACATGTTGTTGTTAATGTCAAACTGCTGATTGTCAAAACATACTACGCATATATACTTCTCATCATTTGGTTTTAGCTTGATAACAGTGTAAGAATCTACATCCGAACGTCACTCTGTGCAATAAACAAGAAGTTTTCAATCATTAAGTTGTATGTTTCAAATAAAACATAAGGTCAAATACTATGTCCTTTTACGATAGTTCTCATGTTTAAAATTATGATATCTGACAGTTTCATGAAATTTTTGGGTTGTTTTTTCAGCAGCAGTTCGAAAAACCTGTCAGCTTACAGCCAAAAGACCTAAGACAAGAAATACAATAATGTTCAAATAACAATGAAAAAAAAAAAAGAATTAAATAGTTCACTTGATTAACTTGTTGTGTTGTTTATATATGTTTCTGATTGCAGAGGTCAGGAAAGAGCTAAATGTTGAAATACAGTTGTGCCAACATAAGGCCAACTAAATCACATCGTTGGGCCAAGTATGGGCCATGGTTTAGTACAAAGGTCAAGAAAGAGCTAAATGTTGAAACACGGTGGTGCCAACATAAGGCCAACAAAATCACTACGTTGGGCCAACTATGGGCCATGGTTTTGTGTGAATTTTCATTCGTTGGCCCAACAATCAGCCAACATGATGGGCCAACGTGGACCCTATGAGCATATCCAAGTGGGCCCATCGTCAGTTTGCCAACAATGGGCCAACCAAACTGGTGATTATGGGCCAACTATGGGCCAACATACCAATGCTATCTGGGTTGTAACTGGAGATGTCATGTTAGATGAGATGCAAGAGTTAACTCCCCTTACATACCTAAGACACACCAGATGATTCCCAAACTCTTTGGGTCTGAACAGCCGATGAGCGTAAGAGTTTATTTATAACATACTGACACTAGTGTTGGGAATTGGTTAAAATCTCATAATTGATGATTGGTTCGTTACAACCCAGCGATTATTGAAAATAATTGGTTTGCATCATTTATCAAATTTTCCCGTTATGTTTATTAATGCACAATCTTTTTTTAAGAAAACATGTTGTTCTTTGGTGTTTGTTTTCAAATTGCTCAAAATGCATTTGCAAATTTCACATCTTTAAAGGATGACTAGTATGTTAGGAACATTAATTTCCTAGAGTCTTTAAGATAAATTCAATCATGACTTCTAACAAGATTGCTGTGCTTATGAAATGTAACAGACAAAACCAACCTTGTGAAAAATATTGTTAACGCAAACAAGTGTTCCAAAATTGTTTGTGTTTGATTATGAGAAAACATGATCCATTTGCTTGGTCACTGCGACCAATCTTCGATTATTCTTACTAATTGGACCACCACTAACTGACACACAAAACAAACTACATCTAGTCTAATCCATCTGTAATATGAAAGTGGGTTTTTTTATAATAAAAATAATAATAGAGCTCGACACTATTTCTGTATGTATATATTGCTGGTTACCACTAGTGGTGTTCCGATTAATTCGAAATAATCGAAGATCGGTCGCAGTGACCACACAACCAAGCAATCGATCACATTTCCTCAGAATCGAAACAAACGATTTTGTCACTACTGTTTTAGTGTTTGAAACACTTGACGATGGAACATATCGTTGAAGTTGTCAGGGCCTGAAAACGTGTTCAATTCTTAGAAAGCTCACTTCACTTACTGAAAAGTCATGACTGAATATTTCTGGGCTGTTTGTGTTCATGATATATTAGTCATCACTTTAAAGTAGAAACTTTCATCATTTTACAATGGAGTTTCAAAATAAACAAACCCCAGAAAATCACATGCTTTTTCTTTATATTTATCTGCAATTACAACCTGAACATGGAAATCTGAAAAATGACGCCAATTAATCTTCTTCCATGATAGCTCATTGGTAATGAACCAATCATCAATTGTGAGATTTCAACCAATTCCCAACACTAGTTACCACTAGCAGTCTGGGTACCAGTCAGTTTGGTTATTGTTTATTCACAGACAAACCTTAATCAATAGCAGTGTTTAAAACTCCCAAACTCCCAAGCCAGACAGCCGGACTGGTAACTTTAAAAAATTACCAGTCCGGATACAAACTTGCCTGTCTGGTTTTCAACAGTGAAAACAAAAGTCAGGTTTCTGAATACTTTACTGTTTGTAGACATCACAATGAACAACATAGCACTAACAGGCAATGCACCAAGTTTAGGTAAACTGAAAGTACATGTGTTGTGATTGGTTATTGTAAAATCAACTGTCCAATCGTAAATAGTTTAACATAATTATCATAATACCTTAAACACAAACTGACGACAAGAGAACCTGTCTGATGTTATGAAATATTTACTGTTAGGGGTAAAACATTCTAGAGACCACCGGTCAGGCTACTTTTGAAATTTGACCGTCCGAGATGAAAATAGACCGTTCCGGACGGTCGGGCAGGCGGGAATTTTAAACGCTGTCAATAGTAATTATGTTTTGTTGTGTGGTTGTAGGTGCAGGTGAAGATGGAGGAAGAAGTAGAGGAGGAGGTTGCCATCCATGACATCTTCAGCCCTCAACTTGAAGATATGCGGAGAGAAATTGAGGTATGCCAAGAGCCCTAACTCTTGCCAGAGGCAACAAACTCCCAAAAGGCGAGTTTAGGTGGTATAGTCTTGTGGTTAAAGCGTTTACATGCCTGAAACACGGTTCTGGTGTCCCTGCCATGATTTAGCAGGATTATGGGTAAGTGCTGCATAAAATATTACAACCCACCCTGCACCTCATTACCACCATGTTCATATGATAGCTGACTAACCTCAGCAGCTAAACAATGGCCAGCCATGAGGACTGACCACTCCCAAACAGGCACGTTAAAATCCAGGTTAGAACTGGTCTTCAGCAACCCATGCTTGTCCTAAGAGGCATCTAACGGGATCGGGTGGTCAGGCTCGCTGACTCGGTTGACACATGTCATCGGTTCCGAATTGCGTAGATCAATGCTCACGTCGTTGATCACAGGATTGTCTGGTTACTTAAGACTGCCGTCATATAGCTGGAATATTGCTGATGTTAACCGTATGGGTGGTGTTAAACAACACTCACTGCACTCACTCACTCACTCACTCACTCACTCACTCACTCACTCACTCACTCACCCACTCACTCACTCACTCACTCACTCACTCACTCACTCACTCACTCACTCACCCACCCACCCACTCGGTGATCGTCATGACATCCATCCTCTTTTCAGAACCTGGAACAGCTGGCTGCAACAGCCAACAACCATCTCTCAGTGGCGAAACAAAAGAAGGAAGATATGTTAGGTGGGTGCTTCGATAGTCATAAATATTAGGCCATTACTCATACCAATGGAAAAACTGAAAGCATTGACTAAAAGGTATTTGTGCATTAAGTGGATCATGTCCCTCTAAACAAGTTTCATACTGACTTGTCGCTATACAGAGTTACGAGGTGTTGCTTAGTGCTTTCCAATTCTATATCTTAGTCAAAATGTGTCTAATGAACGGTCCCCATCTAAACAAGTTTCATACTGACTTGTCGCTATACAGAGTTACGAGGTGTTGCTTAGTGCTTTCCAATTCTATATCTTAGTCAAAATGTGTCTAATGAACGGTCCCCATCTAAACAAGTTTCATACTTGACTTGTCGCTATACAGAGTTATTACGAGGTGTTGCTTAGTGCTTTCCAATTCTATATCTTAGTCAAAATGTGTCTAATGAACGGTCCCCATCTAAACAAGTTTCATACTGACTTGTCGCTATACAGAGTTACGAGGTGTTGCTTAGTGCTTTCCAATTCTATATCTTAGTCAAAATGTGTCTAATGAACGGTCCCCATCTAAACAAGTTTCATACTGACTTGTCGCTATACAGAGTTACGAGGTGTTGCTTAGTGCTTTCCAATTCTATATCTTAGTCAAAATGTGTCTAATGAAGCGGTCCCCATCTAAACAAGTTTCATACTGACTTGTCGCTATACAGAGTTACGAGGTGTTGCTTAGTGCTTTCCAATTCTATATCTTAGTCAAAATGTGTCTAATGAACGGTCCCCATCTAAACAAGTTTCATACTGACTTGTCGCTATACAGAGTTACGAGGTGTTGCTTAGTGCTTTCCAATTCTATATCTTAGTCAAAATGTGTCTAATGAGCGGTCCCCATCTAAACAAGTTTCATACTGACTTGTAAGCTATACAGAGTTACGAGGTGTTGCTTAGTGCTTTCCAATTCTATATCTTAGTCAAAATGTGTCTAATGAACGGTCCCCATCTAAACAAGTTTCATACTGACTTGTCGCTATACAGAGTTACGAGGTGTTGCTTAGTGCTTTCCAATTCTATATCTTAGTCAAAATGTGTCTAATGAACGGTCCCCATCTAAACAAGTTTCATACTGACTTGTCGCTATACAGAGTTCTGAGGTGTTGCTTAGTGCTTTTCAATTCTATATCTTAGTCAAAATGTGTCTAATGAACGGTCCCCATCTAAACAAGTTTCATACTGACTTGTCGCTATACAGAGTTCACGAGGTGTTGCTTAGTGCTTTCCAATTCTATATCTTAGTCAAAATGTGTCTAATGAACGGTCCCCATCTAAACAAGTTTCATACTGACTTGTCGCTATACAGAGTTATGAGGTGTTGCTTAGTGCTTTCCAATTCTATATCTTAGTCAAAATGTGTCTAATGAGCGGTCCCCATCTAAACAAGTTTCATACTGACTTGTCGCTATACAGAGGTATGAGGTGTTGCTTAGTGCTTTCCAATTCTATATCTTAGTCAAAATGTGTCTAATGAACGGTCCCCATCTAAACAAGTTTCATACTGACTTGTCGCTATACAGAGTTACGAGGTGTTGCTTAGTGCTTTCCAATTCTATATCTTAGTCAAAATGTGTCTAATGAACAGTCCCCATCTAAACAAGTTTCATACTGACTTGTCGCTATACAGAGTTACTGAGGTGTTGCTTAGTGCTTTCCAATTCTATATCTTAGTCAAAATGTGTCTAATGAGCGGTCCCCATCTAAACAAGTTTCATACTGACTTGTCGCTATACAGAGGATTCACGAGGTGTTGCTTAGTGCTTTCCAATTCTATATCTTAGTCAAAATGTGTCTAATGAACGGTCCCCATCTAAACAAGTTTCATACTGACTTGTGGCTATACAGAGTTACGAGGTGTTGCTTAGTGCTTTGCTTTCCAATTCTATATCTTAGTCAAAATGTGTCTAATGAACAGTCCCCATCTAAACAAGTTTCATACTGACTTGTCGCTATACAGAGTTACGAGGTGTTGCTTAGTGCTTTCCAATTCTATATCTTAGTCAAAATGTGTCTAATGAACGGTCCCCATCTAAACAAGTTTCATACTGACTTGTCGCTATACAGAGGTATGAGGTGTTGCTTAGTGCTTTCCAATTCTATATCTTAGTCAAAATGTGTCTAATGAACAGTCCCCATCTAAACAAGTTTCATACTGACTTGTCGCTATACAGAGTTCTGAGGTGTTGCTTAGTGCTTTCCAATTCTATATCTTAGTCAAAATGTGTCTAATGAACAGTCCCCATCTAAACAAGTTTCATACTGACTTGTCGCTATACAGAGTTACGAGGTGTTGCTTAGTGCTTTCAATTCTATATCTTAGTCAAAATGTGTCTAATGAACGGTCCCCATCTAAACAAGTTTCATACTGACTTGTCGCTATACAGAGTTGAGGTGTTGCTTAGTGCTTTCCAATTCTATATCTTAGTCAAAATGTGTCTAATGAACAGTCCCCATCTAAACAAGTTTCATACTGACTTGTCGCTATACAGAGTTACGAGGTGTTGCTTAGTGCTTTCCAATTCTATATCTTAGTCAAAATGTGTCTAATGAACGGTCCCCATCTAAACAAGTTTCATACTGACTTGTCGCTATACAGAGTTACGAGGTGTTGCTTAGTGCTTTCCAATTCTATATCTTAGTCAAAATGTGTCTAATGAACAGTCCCCATCTAAACAAGTTTCATACTGACTTGTCGCTATACAGAGTTATGAGGTGTTGCTTAGTGCTTTCCAATTCTATATCTTAGTCAAAATGTGTCTAATGAACTACGGTTATGACAAACTAATATTAGGGGTCCCTCTCAGTTCCCCCGTTCTGACAATGTGGGTTTGAATCCCACGTAATACTCAATCCCCCAAAGTGTGGAATTTGTGTTGAAATAAGAAAGAGTTATCCCAAATATAGCATAGTACAAAAGATGGCTTTCTGCAAGGCATGGTGTATAAAATCAATGCCCATGATGTTGATCACTGGATTTTCTGGTCCAGAGACAATTATTTACAGGCTGCGCCATATAGCTGGCATATTGCTGTGTGTGTCATTAAACATCAAACAAACAAAGGTAATTCTTCTTTGGAGAAAAGTATGGTTTTAGCAATCTGAAATATAGCGGCAGAATTCTAACTCGTACTTACATGTTGCATGCTTGTGTCTGTTGAATGTTTATGTGTTAACATTTCTTTTTGTCATTTTGCAGAAGATAAAGACTTTGACTATTCTGTTGTCCTCAGCCAAATGGGAGGAACTATCAACCAGGAACAGTTGTATAACATGTTTACTGAGAAACAGAATGAGACAAAGCGAATAATTGAAGAGAACATTGTTTCTTTCAATGGAAACAGACAGGTCAGCAAACTTTTTGCAATCGACCAAAACATAGTTTCTGGTTACAATAAGTGCCCAGAAGTAAAAGCCAAGTGAATGATGATGATGATGATGATGATGATTGTGTTGGATGATGATGATGACGACAACTACGATGTTGATGATGACGACAACTATGATGATGATGATGATTGTGTTGGATGATGATGATAATTATGTTGAATGATGATGGAGATGATGGCAACTATGATGATGATGATTGTGTTCAATGATGATGGTGATGATGATTATGTTGAAAGATGATGGAGATGATGACAACTATGATGATGATGATTATGTTGAATGATGATGGTGATGATGACGACAACTATGATGATGATGATGATTGTGTTGGGTGATGATGATGATTATGTTGAATGATGATGGTGATGATGACGACAACTATGATGATGATGATGATTATGTTGAATGATGATGGTGATCATGACGGCAACTATGATGATGATGATGATTGTGTTGATGATGATGATGATGATTATGTTGAATGATGATGGTGATGATGACGACAACTATGATGATGATGATGATGATGTATGTTGAATGATGATGGTGATGAATGATGATGGTGATGATGATGATGATTATGTTGAATGATGATGGTGATGATGATGACAACTATGATGATGATGATTATGTTGAATGATGAATGGTGATGTTGATGACAACTATGATGATGATGATTATGTTGAATGATGATGGTGATGATGATGATGACAATGATGATGATGATGATGATTATGTTGATGATGATGTTGACATGATGATGATGATGATGACAAATGATGATGATGATGATGATGATGATGATTGAATTGATGATGGTGGATGATGATGACAGTGATATGATGATGATGATTATGATGATGATGATGATGATGATGATGATGATGACAACTATGATGATGATGATGATGATGATGATGATGATGATGATGAATGATGATGGTGATGATGATGACAATTGAATGATGATGATGATTGATGATGAATGATGATGATGATGATGATAATGATGATGATGATGGTGAATGATGATGATGATGACAATGATGATGATGATGATGATGATGATGATGATGATGATGATGATGATGATGATGATTATGTTGAATGATGATGGTGATGATGATGATGATGATGATGATGATTATGATGAATGATGATGGTGATGATGATGACAACGATGATGATGATGATTATGTTGAATGATGATGGTGATGATGATGACAACTATGATGATGATGATGATGATTATGTTGAATGATGATGGATGATGATGATGACTATGATGATGATGATGATGATGATTATGTTGAATGATGATGGTGATGATGACAACAACTATGATGATGATGATTATGTTGAATGATGATGATGATATGTGATGATGATGATGACGATGATGATGACTGATGATGATGATGATGATGATGTTGAATGATGATGGTGATGATGACAACTACAATGATGATGATGATTATGTTGAATGATGATGGTGGTGATGATGATGACAACTATGATGATGATGATTATGTTGAATGATGATGGTGGTGATGATGATGACGACAATGATGATGATGATGATGATGTTGAATGATGATGATGACAATGATGATGATGACTATGATGATGACAACAATGATGATGATGATTATGTTGAATGATGATGGTGGTGATGATGATGACAACTATGATGATGATGATTATGTTGAATGATGATGGTGGTGATGATGACGACAACTATGATGATGATGATTATGTTGAATGATGATGGTGATGATGATGACAATGATGGTGATGATGATGATGATGATGATTATGTTGAATGATGATGGTGATGATGATGATGACACTGATGACTATGATGATGATGATTATGTTGAATGATGATGGTGATGATGATGACAACAATGATGATGATGATTGTTGAATGATGGTGATGATGATGACGACAATGATGATGATGATTGTGTTGAATGATGATGATGATGATGACAACTACGATGATGATGATGTTGAATGATGATGGTGATGATGACGACAACTATGATGATGATGATGATGTTGAATGATGGTGATGATGATGACAACAACTATGATGATGATTGTGTTGAATGATGATGGTGATGATGACAACTATGATGATGATGATTGTGTTGAATGATGATGGTGATGATGATGATGATTATGTTGAATGATGATGATGATGATGATGATGAGCGACTGATGATGATGATATGATGATGTTGAATGATGATGGTGATGATGACAATAATGATGATGATGATGATGATGATTGTGTTGAATGATGATGATGATGATGATGACAACTATGATGATGATGTTGTTGAATGATGGTGATGATGACGACAACTATGATGATGATTGTGTTGAATGATGATGGTGATGATGACAACTATAATGATGATTGTGTTGAATGATGGTGATGATGACGACAACTATAATGATGATTGTGTTGAATGATGATGGTGATGATGACGACAACTATGATGATGATGATGATTGTGTTGAATGATGATGGTGATGATGACGACAACTATGATGATGATGTTGTTGAATGATGATGATGATGATGATGATGAATTGTGTTGATGATGATGATGTGATTGAATGATGGTGATGATGACGACAACTATGATGATGTTGATTGTGTTGAATGATGATGGTGATGATGACAACTACGATGATGATGATGATGATGATGATGATGATGATGATGATTATGGTGATGACAACGACTAAATACATAAACCCAGCTCACACATTCACATGGATACAATGTGTCAAGATTATTTATGGTGCCATATTGCTGGAATATTGCTAAATGTTGCATAATACAATGTTCAGTCAAATCACTGAAGTTAGTCTCCACAAATAAATATGATTTTGCTTGAAACTTATCTATTTAAATTGACAAGGGACCCAATGAGATGGGAATTTTCAAGACCGGAGGAAACTCTAGACTTGCTTCATTTAGGGCTTTACAGAAGGTGCTGAGCAGAAGGGGAATAAGGTTTAGGGACTGGGAGAGAGACGATGAAATCACTCATTTCAGAAACTGATGAGTCTACTGTTTGACTTTGGGTGATGTGGTAGCCTGTTAAAGTGTTGGCTCGTCACGCTGAAGACCCGGGTTCAATTCCCCACATGGGTACAATGTGTGAAGCCCATTTCTGATGTCCCCTGCAGTGATACTATTTGAATATTGCTAAAAGCGGGGCAGTGGGGTAGCCTAGTGGTTAAAGCGTCCGCTTGTCACGCTGAAGACACGGGTTCAATTACCCACATGGGTACAATGTGTGAAGCCAATTTCTGATGTCCCCTGCAGTGATACTACTTGAATATTGCTAAAAGCGGGGCAGTGAGGTAGCCTAGTGGTTAAAGCGTCCGCTTGTCACGCTGAAGACACGGGTTCAATTACCCACATGGGTACAAAGTGTGAAGCATATTTCTGGTGTCTCCCTGCCATGATATTGTTGGAATATTGCTAAAAGCAGCATAAAACCATACTTGCTTGCTCACTAAAAGCAGCGTAAAACTAGACTCACTCACTGACTGTTTGACTTGGTGTTTCAGATGGTACAGGTGACGCTCCGGAAAAAGCTTGAGGACCTACAGCTCCTTCATACACAGATTCTAGAGAAGGTCTCAGAGTTCAAGCACCAACAGAAGTTGGCGTTTGTCCGGGCAGCGGTCAAACCTCGGATTGAAGAAGTTGAAAAATGGTCAGACATCAAACACACTTCTCAATTATTTGTTCTGTTTCTTTTTGGGGGGAATGAATATTATGCTATTCTCAGGTTAATATTTTAGTGATAAACTGTATTTGAGTTCGAATAGGTGTCTAGCGAGGCGACAGATAGACAAGATTGGTGACCTCGTTATCGTGGCATTTATTCTTGGCCATGTATTGGTCTCAGTTAAATTACAGGCTGATAGACCTTGGTTGGTTTGCTCAGATGGTTGGTTGGTTAACACCGCTCTCAGCAATATTCCAGCTATATGGCAGTGGTCTGTAAATAATCGAGTTTGGACCAGACAATCCAGTGATCAACATCATGAGCATCGATCTAGGCAACTAGGAATCAATGACATGTCAACCAAGTCAGCAAGCCTGACCATCCGTCCCGTTAGTTGCCTCTTACGACAAGCATGGGTTACTGAAGACCGCTTCTCACCCGGATCTTCACGGGTCTGATAGACCTTGAATATTGCTGATAGCTGTAATTTGCTGATTACTGTGTTAAACTACAGACCAAACAAAAGTACTACAGTTTGAAATTGCAAGTGTCAAATTGTATTTGAAACAATATGTTGAAATGATTGCACTTTATTGTCTTTTTCTTTAACTTTATTTTTCAAAAAGGTTAATATGTTTGGTTTCCAGTTTAGATGTTTCTTGATGGCTTTTGGTTTTGTTGTGTCAAAAATATTGCTGACTTGTAAAACAAAATTCACTGACTCATCACTTCAGGTGCGGAAACCTTGGTAACGTGTGCTGGAAGCTGTTCCAGCTGACCAACAGTCCTGAGTTCCGTGAGGTCATCTCAACATCACTGCATTCTGTGGAAGAAATGGAACAAAAGGTGGCGCCCTCTATCGCAGCGGAGGACAACGCAGAAGTGGAGGCAATGATCAGGAAATTGCGTGGCATGTTCAAAAAGCTGCTGGAGGAGTGAGTAAATTCGTTGTAGTCACTTGAGTGAGTGAGTAAGTTGAGCTTTATTCCACATTTAGCAGTGTCAGGCGCGTAGCAAGCCAGTTTTTTTTTCCATGTAAGCTCGATAGGTTGCAAAGCTTTATCTTTATACAGTATTGAAGGCTTGCCCAACTTTTTTAACAACAATCTTGTGTAAGCCCAGGCTTTTTTTAATAATGTAAGCTACGCCCCTGAGTGTTATTGCTATATCATGGTGGAGGACACCAAGGCCTAGATTTTCGAAGCCCTCTTAGCGCTAAGATAGTCGTAAGTGCCAAACATTAATATTAACTTACGACTATCTTTGCTCTAAGAGAGCTTTGAAAATCTAGGCCCAGATATTTTTTTAAATATTTAAAATAAAGAACAGATATTTATTATTTTCAGAAAATGGTTTTGATTTTTACATCAGGACCTAAAGGTAGTACTATGGTTTTACATTATTCGTTTATGAACCAGAACCTTCATCGTGACGACGCAGCCCCCAGAAGTGCTGAAGATGGTTGGTGCCAGAAACAAGGGAACTAGTCGGGAGTTCCATACTTCGGTCAGGTAACTCAAATAGGACATATAAAACTCACTTAATCTTGTCTCTCAAGTTGCAGTGATGTATTTTGATAATTTCATTGATGAACAGTTTAACATTTGAAAATAATGAGTGAGTGAGTGAGTTTAGTTTTACGCCACACTCAGCAATATTCCAGCTATATGGCAGCGGTCTGTAAATAATCTGGACCAGACAATCCAGTGATCAACATCATGAGCATCGATCTACGCGTTTGGGAAACGATGACATGTGTCAGCCAAGTTAGCAAGTCTGACCACCAATCCTGTTAGTTGCCTCTTGCAACAAGCATGGGTTACTGAAGATCAATATTCTAACCCCGACCTTCACGGGTATGAAACTAATGACCTTCATCCTCAGTTCATGATCATCAAATGCTCATTACACACAATAATGTTAATACAGATAATGGTGCTCTCTCAATGAGGTTACAAGTTATTTTTGTAGGGCTTATCTGCAACACTGATGAAATAAAAACTGTTGGACCCACTAAGCACAGTCTATACCTTCCATTTAATAAAGAATATATTCTTTTCACAGTAAATAAGGACCCCTTTGCTTATAAATTGACCAAAGGGACTTTTCAAAAGCATACAAAGTGATTTATACAAGAGTATAAACATGGTTAAAATGTCAATGAAACTTTCGGTTATTTTATAACGTTTACTAGGCAGTTATCTCCCCTTTCTACACGGATGTATTGCTGTAAAAATAAGAAATATACTCAGAGACAGCTTAGTGAATGTACTCGGAACTTAAGTCTGTCCTACAGATCCTGAAACAAATATATCCAATTCAAATTTTAATAAAACTTTAAAAAATATTAAATATAGTTACTCTGAAGTTTAATCCCCTTTCTACATTGCTCACTGCTCATATCTGTCTCATTCAACAAAAGCATAGAAATTGCCTGTCTTTATGGAGGTGGGGTAATGCCGAAGACATGGGTTTGATTCCCCACATGGGTACAATGTGTGAAGCCCATTTCTGGTGTCCCCCGCCATGATATTGCTGCAATATTACTAAAAGCAGTGTTAAACTTACTTACTCGCCTGGTATCGTCACATCCACAGACATTTTCTTTGGTCAACAAGTTCTACGACACCAAGTGTCTTCTCAACACTGACCACAGTTTCGTGTTTTGCAGCATCCTGGCTCTCAGCTACCTTCAGATAGAGCAGATTTCCTCAAACGTTGTCGCATCCTTCTTTGCGGAGACAGACATTGGCACTTATAAGCGCAAGAAGCAAGTCAGTTGTTCCCTCCAAAACAATGAAGCCCAGTTTAAAGCCACAGGATCCAGACCCGAGGCTTGTTTCAATGAACTCAAGGTGAAGGACTTCAGTCGCATGAAGGAGAACGATGACAGCCGGGTCTCAAAACAGTTTTATCGTGTGACCTTCAGCACCAAGGTCACTCTGCAGAGTGAATGGATCTTCGACCTTGAGGTAAGATCTTTGTTGTAAATGTAGTTATCTTGTTTCCTGACGTAACAGATGGGCCAGGGGGTGTGGGTGTACTTACACCTAATATTGCAAGTGGAGGTGTACTGAGAATTTTGAAGGAGTACTGACATATTTTTGTGTGAGCGAGTTGGTGATGTGGTTTGTTATTTATAATATTAAAGAACTTTTCAGCTATTAAACTTCATATATGTTAGACAGACAAAGGTATTTATGTGTGTACGTGATACCCTTGAAATCTTATATTATGTCGTACTTCAATGATTTTTAGGAGTACATTACGCCTGTACGCCCCTTATCTGTAGCCATGTGGGCTGCTTGTGTCCCTGTGGGCTGCTTGTGTCCCTGTGGGCTGCCTGTGTCCCTGTGGGCTGCCTGTGTCCCTGTGGGCTGCCTGTGTCCCTGTGGGCTGCCTGTGTCCCTGTGGGCTGCCTGTGTCCCTGTGGGCTGCCTGTGTCCCTGTGGGCTGCTTGTGTCCCTGTGGGCTGCTTGTGTCCCTGTGGGCTGCTTGTGTCCCTGTGGGCTGCCTGTGTCCCTGTGGGCTGCCTGTGTCCCTGTGGGCTGCTTGTGTCCCTGTGGGCTGCTTGTGTCCCTGTGGGCTGCTTGTGTCCCTGTGGGCTGCCTGTGTCCCTGTGGGCTGCCTGTGTCCCTGTGGGCTGCTTGTGTCCCTGTGGGCTACTTGTGTCCCTGCGGTCTAAGGAGCTGCTATGATTATTGGTTAGGTTTGAATCCTGATTGTCCCGATAATGTGTCTAAGTTTGGCAGCTTGGGATGTGGGATTTCCTCCACCATTAAGTGTACATTATCATTAAGTGATATAACTGAAACACTGATAGAGTGAGTGAGGGAGTGAGTGAGTACATGTTGCTCTAAGACACATCTACAATATTGCAGCTATTAGCAACTGGGATTCTGATGAAAACAGCATTTATCATTATAGAATAGAGACACAATGCACTGTATTATCAAAGATTTATGGGTTGATCTTCAGCATGGTGATTCCAGGTTAGAACTCGTCCCATTATTAGATGTTCACATTGAGGGTGACTTAAAATATAAGGGTCCAATGTTCACAAAGTGACCTTAGCACTAAGGCAATCATAACTCTTCTATTTTATCATAGACTTAAGTTAAAGGTCACATAAACCCTAGGGGGTACAAATACATAAATCACTAACTGGCATCGTTATAAATGAAACCCCGTCATTAAAACTACTCATTTCGACCTTTAATTGACTTAAATCGACCTTTTTGACAACAGTGCACAATTCTCACCCGCGAACGAAATTTCAACCAATCAGAGCGGCGCGCCTCTGTGACGTCATATGAGGAATAGCTTTGAGGGCCGATGCAGAATTCATCTACATTTTAGGGGTTAAATTATCTTGTTTACAGGCTTGTATAAACCTGAAATCGTGACAATTGTTGTGGAAAATGAAAGCTATATGTTCTCACAATCTACTGTCATTTAATTTTGTCTCCTGCTTTGCCTAGTTTCTGAGTTAAAACTTGTTTTCATAGACGATTCTGTCAAACTCGATTGGTGTCGTTAGGCCCTATTTGTATAATGACTGATCCAAATTGATCCCATTTCTGTGTTTTTTTACCTCGATATTTAACATGTCATGTAAAAATCTGTTTGTATTCTCAAAACAGTGTCGGCCCATAAGTTTTCACATGCAATACAGCAATTAATACTCCCTTGTTGTAACCCGTGTTAGGTGGTATAAACCTACACATGTTATTTGTCATCGTTCGCTTGATGGTCAGTTAATGAATTTATAACAGGTATAATTAGTGATAACACACTTAGATTACCCGACAAAGGTTCCCTTTTGGCATTTCTTGTGTCTGGAGTAAATATTCAACATTATAAAGATCGATCAAAGGATTAACCGATAACACGCTGATTGATTAATTACTTTTATCTTACACAGCGGAATTGTCAAAGGTAGTGTTTATGTATGTATATTTACTAATCTATACTGAATACACTCTGTCGTGGTCGGTGTCTAGCGTAAAAACAACGCCCTTCTTTCAAAGGATTAACCGGCAATACATTGATTGATTGCCCATTATTGGCTAACTAAATTACTATTTTTAAAGAAAGGCGGACATTATGCAATTAGTTGCCAGGTGTGCTATCTTGGGTGACCAATGAGACTATACACCAATACCTGAAAAGATTTATCACTTTTTTCAGATATTAAACTGTTAAAAGACACATCATTTGGAACAGTGTTGTGGATATTGATGGATACATTCCTCGAACAAGGTAATGGCCTGATATTGTTCCTATAACTTTAATCTGTTTTAATTTTAATATTTGCATTTTGTTTTTATTCATTTGTCGTAGCATTCAACAGAATAATTGTTTTCACGTGAAGTGTAATGAGACAGACAACATGCACTAGGGTGTGTGCTAATTATGATTCACATTGGCAAACTATAAAATGTCTAGATATTACAGTTCTGTTATAAATTTACTATAAGTATCAGCAGATCGCCTGCTTTTATTTAGTTTCAAAATGCATACAAGTGTGATAATAAACTAATTAGGATTATAAGACCAAATATAAAGACGACATTGATTGACTAGTATCTACATACTGGTGAGTGGACATTAACGATGTGAATGTAGCAAGAAATTTATCACGCAGTATTGTGACTTCGACCCCACCTCGCCTTCCGTGGAAGAAATCGTTATGTTATAAGTTGTGTCATGCAAAATCCGTTTGGTTATGATTCCAATACATATTTAACTACTTAGTAGAAAGTAGTCTTGATTTTCTAACTTGATGAAAACAAACTATAATCTCATTAATTCTAACAGATTTTTTATTTTTAAAATGGCGGCGCCTCTGTCGGGAACATCCGCCAGTCTGAGGATAAATGGTATTTAGGTTTGTTTTCACCGAAGTTACAAAATCAAAACTACTTTCTACTGGTAGTAAAATATGTATTTTATTGATGGCCAATAGGATTTTGCATGACATAGCTTATAACATAACAATTTCTCTCGTGGCAGCGAGGTGGGTGTCAATATAATACTACTTACAATATTATTGTTACTTCGACCACAACCTCACTTCCGAGGAAGAATCGTTATGTTACAAGTTGTGTCATAGAAAATCTTTATGGTCATCAATCATATGCATATTTTACTACAACTAGTAAGTAGTTTTGATTCTTTAACTTGCGCGGAAGCTTATCTGAACACAAGTAAGATATCGCTTCAGGCTTCCACAACGCCGCGCCAAGACTCACAAACATAACCCATTTAGCACCTAACTGCGGGTCCTGTGGAAATCTGTGCATGGGGACACCATCGCCCGACCCCTAGGAGCAATTGACGACAAAGCAACGATTCGCATGTCGCCGCTTATGTCAAGAAATCATCAAAATGACGAGCGCATACACATTTTCTATACAACTAACTGAAAATCGCTCCTCATATGACGCCACTGCAGTGCTCTGGCGACAGAGTTACGTGAACCTGTCTGTGGTTTCAAGCATGGCTTAGAGGAAGCAGGCTTAATTTTTGGCCACTTTTAATCGCTCGGTATTAATTAACCACAAGTTTTTAAAGAATAAATTTGGTGTTCCGCATAAGACTAACCACAAATCTTTCATATGTAATGGTTAAAAGAGTAACAAAAAACAAAGTTTAGTGGTTCTTTAAGATTGCTTTGTGGAATACGGCCAAGGGTGCCAGTGTACAAAGCAACCTTAGCACCATGACAGTTGTAGGTCTATGTTAAGGTATGGGAGCCGTGATCACCTTAGCGCTAGGATCATTTTGTACCCTGGGTGTCATTGTACAAAGAGACCTTAGCGCTAAGGTGACAGTAACTCCCATACCTTAACTTAGATTCAGGTTGTTTTGTACAACGGCACCCTGGTCATTAGACTTGAAAACGGTCTTCCCCCAACATCTTGGATCATCAGTCACTGGATTGTCTGGTCCCGACTTGTTTTCACGCAGCCATCATATAGCTGTAATATTGTTGATTGAGGAAAAGCAAGAAAGGAACAAAAAAAACAATTCTGGTCTCTATCATGCTAATATATTCTGAGGTAAGCACGCTGTAAGTATTCTGATGTTGTTATTTTGTTTTCAGACAATGTCCCTGCCCATCATCATCAACACAGGCAGCAACCAGGCGTGTGAGGCCCTGGGGTCCCTCCTGTGGTACTGCTACAACACAGACGATGTGGTGGGTCATACAACCAGACATCTTTTGTACTCCTTGCATTTAAGCAGTGTAGGAAAGATAGCCCGTTCCAACATCCGAGACGGGTGAATTTTGTGGAGGACGGGTTAAAAAAATATCTAGTCCGTCCTCGTGTCGGGTCAATTTTAGCAAACCAATGACATATATATAATGATTATAACCTTTTTGAATATTTACTGCCGAAGGTGTTTTATTTATATTTGGAGGACAGGCTAGATTTTGGCAGGACTGGTAAAACATTTGACCTGCCAGTCCTGTGGACAGGCTAGATTTTTGACATCTTTCCTACACTGATTTAAGGCTGGCTCAAATGATCGATAATCGGAATTATCGTTGATAGGAAAAATTGTTAATTATTATTGATATGAAAAGTGTGTTATTGATAATATCAACCCGTGAAGATCCGGGGTAGAATAGGGCTTCAGCAACCCATGCTTGCCACAAAAGGCGACTATGCTTGCCGTAAGAAGGCAACTAACGGGATCGGGTGATCAGGCTCGCTGACTTGGTTGACACATGTCATCGGTTCCCAATTGCACAGATCGATGTTCATGCTGTTGATCACTGGATTGTCTGGTCCAGACTCGATTATTTACAGACCACTGCCATATAGCTGGAATATTGCTGAGTGTGTAAAAAAACTAAACTCACTCACTCATTCTGGATAATATCATACCTGAACTTTGGTGACAGAAACAAATTTTGATTTTCTCTCTCAGCGTACAAATTTAGGACTTTATTCATGGTCTTCTTCGAAATTATGTTCAGGACAGTGTTTTGTTAGTAGTCCCTGCATTACACCTCTCACTAGTGATGCTAAATATAATATTCATTCCTTTCAAATTTTGTAGGCATTTTTGCTCAAAGTTGTCTCAGATATTTATTGATAATCGATCAATATTTATTTAACAATTATTGTTCCTTATGATTTATATTGATAGCCAGTCCTACTTGTATTCCTCCTTGAACAGAACAGATTCCAGTACTTTGTGTATATCTCTCTTGATTCAAACCCACACTCTCAGTTTAAGGCACCTACTCGCCAGCAATCTAACCCACTCAGTAATTGTATGTAGTCTAGATTACATACTTTGTGTACCCCTCTGACAAGTGTAAATTGGCATGGCTCCCATGGCTAAAGCTTTGAATACACAATGACATTTTTTGAAAAGTGGTCAAATGTAACTTGTGTGTTTGGAGTTACATTTTAGCAGTAATGTACAATAAATTATCTCCTTTCTTTAAAAAATGAGTCCTTATTCAATAATATTCCATATATACCCCGGATACCCGGACCCCAAATATCCGGAAACCTCGCCTTCTGGTCAATTTTCTTTAAAAAACCCAATATCTTACGTTATAAAAGTGACTGTCTATAATGGATATGCGGTTTCCGTTCCTGGGCCCCGTTTCACAAAACTCTCGTAAGCCTAAGATCTTGTAACTTTTCTCGTAGCATTCGTACTCCCTATGTTACAGTACAGGAGGTACGAATGCTCCGAGAAAATTTATGAGATCTTAGGCTTACAAGAGTTTTGTGAAACAGGGCCCTGGACGGTAAGTTTTACAAACCAACCGTCTAAATCGACCCAAAATTGACTCACTTATCCTCACAAAGCTTTGATCTACGGCTGACCTTGTCAAGTGCATATCTGGGTTAATGACCGATCAGCAGGGTATTCGTGGTGATTAGTAGGCCTGTCTGGCACAGAGTGAATTGTAATTGACAAATCAAAACGACCACGCTGTTTTGGAAGTGATTTTAAACCAGAAGTGTATGCTCGCTACCATTTCAACACCTAAGCCTGGATGACAGAAATTCAGATATCCAGATATTCAGTTATCCGGACAATTTACGCAAACACGAATGTGTCCGGATATCCGGGATCTCACTGTATGTCTCCTTTGAATTGCAGAATCCCTAAATGTATGTCTCTTGATACTCATTTCTTACTCTCAGCATTTCACTGGACTTTAAGGATTCTCATGGCGCCAGTGAGCACCTGTCAATAGATACCAAGTGCTTAAACAATCAGTTATTACTGTTAATATTATTAATTGAATCACAGAACAGGCCCCTTGTACCTCATTCTCCATATTTATACACTTACACGTATTCTATGTATCTCCCCCTAACTCTTTGCCCCTCCCTGTTTCAGTACCACAACTTCCAGCAACCGTTTCCAAATGATCTACCCCTAGACAAGGTGCTGGACATGTTGAGTTGCTGCCTCCGGACCATCAGCCCCCGGGACCTGCAGGAGGACGAGCGACGGTTCCTCGGGGAGAAACTCACAGGTACATCCCTACCAGCAGGTTTTTCTTATCAGTATATGTTTTATATAGGCAAACATATCAGTTTGGTGCTTTCAAATTACAAAAAAATGTGCATTATTATATTATTTTTTGCAACAAGTACACTATGAGTAAGTGAGTGAGTGAGTGTGGTTTTATGTCGCTTTTAGCAATATTCCAGCAATATCATGGCGGGGGACACCAGGATGGCAGGTTATGAAATAATGAGTGAGTGAGTGAGTTTAGTTTTACGCCGCACTCAGTAATATTCCAGCTATATGGTGGCGGTGCTTATGAAATAAGCCAAAACCCAGCCAGACATCATGGCTGGTAACTTCAAAATGTTACCAGCCGAAACTGGATTTAACCAGACCAGACATCAAGATATGGTGAATTTACTCAGATTTTACCAGACCATCGGGCTGGCTAGCTGTAAATTTAGACTGTCCGTCAGAAATCTAACCCGTCTGGGGTGGTCGGACGGGCCTTATGTCATACACTGAGAATGGGCTTCACAAATTGTACCCATGTGGGGAATCGAACCTGGGTCTTCGGCGTGACGAGCGAACACTTTAACCATTAGGCCTCCTCATCACCTAGATACACTATGAGGCAAATATGGTACATATTATGAATTTGGGTAGCAAATACAATTATTGGACAGCTAACATAAGCAGTTGCTGTATTATTTATTAGATTCAGTGAAACGATGCTTAGATAATCATCATGATGGCCAGTGACCACCTTAATGTCAAATTTTATATACAGTAGAACACGGATATAACGAACTCCAAGGGACCAAGAAATTTAGTTCACTATATCCGTTGTTCGTTAGTCACATTTGACCGCCATCTTGGATTGTAGAGATGTAGAGACATGTATATGCTGAGGCTACAAATCTTTATTCTTGTACATGTACATTGACATAACATTAAAATTCTGAATTTATCATTCAAAGACATTAGCTAGAACAAGTTTAACAATCACAACAATCTCAACAATACATGTATATAACTTAATTACGTTTAACAAAGTCCACCAGTATACCAGTCAAGCTTTTAAACACGACATGTTTGTTTTGTTAATTAATTAATGACCATCAAACAATGTTGATTCGCCGCCAACAAGGTTGATGTATACCGCTAAGTGGCTGAGCTGACACTGAGTGAGTTCGCTAATCACGTCGTTAATTGGGTCTTGGGGGTAGTAAATCAGTTCGCTATAGCCGTAATTCGCTACTCACGAGTTCGTTATTTGCGTATAATTTTAATGATATTATAAAGGACTACTGACGGGACTTTTAAATTTGTTCGCTATATCCGTTTGTTCGCTATATCCATGTTCTACTGTATAGAACTGTTGACTATTATCTTGAATGGCTTGGATATATTCTATTTTGCATATAAATAACACCTAAATTCAAGTGAAAACACTCCTTTAAAACTATTTTCTAGTGATCACAAATAGCGAATTGAATTCATGAAGGGATACAGTTTGGTTCACCAAATACGTGAGTGAGTGGTAACAGCCCCAGTCTAAATTCCTTGGAACAGTTGAGTTAATGATGAAAAAGGGAAATCTTTCTAATCCTAAGGAGTTTTAAATGATAATGTCATAAATGAACTATTGTGATGAAATCATTTTAAAATTTACTCGGAAAATGCACAAAATTTAGTCTTTATTCCTGGGCTGCTCCTAAATGGTGGCCTAGTGTAAACGGCGTCTTGTTGGTAATCCAAGCCTACATATGTCACTACTCGCCACTGATGTGACACGTGTTGATTTCTTTCATATTATTAGTCATTTTTGCTCAAAGTTACTTCTCCGATATTTATCGATAATTGATCGATATTCATTTCACGACGATCGATGATCTATATCAATAGCCAGACATGTTTTAAGTGGCTGTGTTGACACGCCCAGGTGAGCGCCATTTTACATACTTTCTTTTACAGTATTAAGTGCATGTATCCATGTCTGTCTGGGACAGATTTGTATAAATTATCATGTGGGCTGGCTAAAATGATCGATTATCAGATATATCATTCTTGAAAGGCATTTAGAAGTTGGATGAACATGAATACATGACACGATTTGATGGACTTCTTTTCATTCTTTACACAATGTAACAGAAATATCATCAATTATAAGAATCATTTGCGATCTTCGGAAATATTCGTCACATCTTGCACAGTTCATTCAATGTATTGTATATATTTCGTAAGACTTGTATTTCTTAGGAGAAATATCATCAATTATAAGAATCATATGCGATTTTCGGAAATATTCGTCACATCTTGCACAGTTCATTCAATGTATTGTATATATTTCGTAACACTTTTATTTTTTAGGAGAAATATCATCAATTATAAGAATCATTTGCGCTTATCGGAAATATTCGTCACATCTTGCATAGTTCATTCAATGTATTGTATATATTTCGTAAGACTTGTATTTCTTAGGAGAAATATCATCAGTTATAAGAATCATTTGCGATTTTCGGAAATATTCGTCACATCTTGCACAGTTCATTCAATGTATTGTATATATTTCATAAGACTTGTATTTCTTAGGAGAAATATCATCAGTTATAAGAATCATTTGCGATTTTCGGAAATATTCGTCACATCTTGCACAGTTCATTCAGTGTATTGTATATATTTCGTAACACTTGTATTTCTTAGGAGAAATATCATCAGTTATAAGAATCATTTGCGATTTTCGGAAATATTCGTCACATCTTGCACAGTTCATTCAATGTATTGTATATATTTCGTAACACTTTTATTTCTTAGGAGAAATATCATCAGTTATAAGAATCATTTGCGATTTTCGGAAATATTCGTCACATCTTGCACAGTTCATTCAATGTATTGTATATATTTTCGTAACACTTTTATTTCTTAGGAAAAATATCATCAGTTATAAGAATCATTTATGCTTATTGAAATATTGTATAGTTCATTCAATGTATTGTTCAGTAAGACTTTTATTTCTTAGGAGAAATATCATCAGTTATAAGAATCATTTGCGATTTTGGGAAATATTCGTCACATCTTGCACAGTTCATTCAATGTATTGTATATATTTCGTAACACTTTTATTTCTTAGGAGAAATATCATCAGTTATAAGAATCATTTGCGATTTTCGGAAATATTACAGTCACATCTTACACAGTTTATTCAATGTATTGTATATATTTCGTCACTTGTATCTTAGGAGAAATATCATCAGTTATATGAATATTGTATATACAGTTTTCAGTGTAATAAGACTTGTCACATCTTAGCACAATATCATCTTGCAAGTTATTAATGTATTGTATATATTTTAAGACTTTTATTTCTTAGGAGAAATATCATCAGTTATAAGAATCATTTGCGATTTTTATTGTCACATCTTGCACAGTTCATTCAATGTATTGTATATATTTCGTAAGACTTTTATTTCTTAGAGAAATATCATCAGTTATAAGAATCATTTGCTAAGACTTGTATTTCTTAGGAGAAATATCATCAGTTATAAGAATCATTTGCGATTTTCGGAAATATTCGTCACATCTTGCACAGTTCATTCAATGTATTGTATATATTTCGTAAGACTTGTATTTCTTAGGAGAAATATCATCAGTTATAAGAATCATTTGCGATTTTCGGAAATATTCGTCACATCTTGCACAGTTCATTCAATGTATTGTATATATTTCATAAGACTTGTATTTCTTAGGAGAAATATCATCAGTTATAAGAATCATTTCAAGCGGATTTTTGAGAAATCGTCACATCTTGCACAGTTCATTCAATGTATTGTATATATTTTGTAAGACTTTTATTTCTTAGGAGAAATATCATCAGTTATAAGAATCATTTGCGATTTTCGGAAATATTCGTCACATCTTGCACAGTTGATTCAGTGTATTGTATATATTTAAGTAACACTTTTTTATTTCCATCTTGCACAGTTCATTCAATGTATTGTATATATTTCAGTAACACTTTTATTTCTTAGGAGAAATATCATCAGTTATAAGAATCATTTGCGATTTTCGAAATATTAGGTCACATCTTGCACAGTTCATTCAATGTATTGTATATATTTAAGTAACACTTTTATTTCTTAGGAGAAATATCATCAGTTATAAGAATCATTTCGCGATTTTCGGAAATATTCGTCACATCTTGCACAGTTTATTCAATGTATTGTATATATTTCAGTAACACTTGTATTTCTTAGGAGAAATATCATCAGTTATAAGAATCATTTGCGATTTTTAGAAATATTAAGTCACATCTTGCACAGTTCATTCAATGTATTGTATATATTTAAGTAACACTTTTATTTCTTAGGAAAAATATCATCAGTTATAAGAATCATTTGCGCTTATTGGAAATATTCGTCACATCTTGCACAGTTCATTCAATGTATTGTATATATTTCGTAACACTTTTATTTCTTAGGAGAAATATCATCAGTTATAAGAATCATTTGCGATTTTCGGAAATATTCGTCACATCTTGCACAGTTCATTCAATGTATTGTATATATTTCGTAACACTTTTATTTCTTAGGAGAAATATCATCAGTTATAAGAATCATTTGCGATTTTCGGAAATATTCGTCACATCTTGCACAGTTTATTCAATGTATTGTATATATTTGTAACACTTGTATATTTTAGGAGAATACTCATCTAAACTTCTTTGAAGGAATGGTTTACTTTCACTAAGAAAATATCTAAAACGTGTAACATTCTTTCAATTTGCATAGTGATCCTTTGTTTACATAGGTTGTGCAGTTCCACGTGCTGTCATCGAAGCCCGACGGAGAGCTAGCAATGCAGTCACTTTGATGCATAAATATGTATTGTCATAAACTTTACTGTTGCTGTTGTAGAAGAATCTCTATATAACAATGTAAAACAACACTAAGAGCGCACTGAAAAGCTAACATTAAGTCAGTCTTTTCTGATTTATAAATATATGTGTTTGTTTACAAATAAGAGAAAAGTTTGGTCACATGACATGGAAATTAGCCTGTGGCAGTGATGTTATGCCAGGTCATCACTGTGCCGGAGTATGACTAACACCACATGTACTGTTCGTGTGTTGCAGGGAAGTCCATCAAGAAGACCAGTCCGGGTGAGGGACTCACCGTCAAGTTCTCTCAGTTCTGCGTGGTGAGTCTATCTGTAAGTCACCTTTTGGCGAGTATCTTTGTCATAGTAACAAATCTGATGCTACAGTTCGCGTTACCAAAGCAAGTGGAACAGTTGACCCATAAATAAACAAGTTATATGTTTCAGATTTCAGAGTTTAAAGGCACAATGTCACACATTTCGACAATATGTTGGATTATATTTTATATATTGGGGTCATATGCACTCACTTTAGCTTCCTATTGATGCAATAAAAGACTTATTGTCAATTACGACTTGCCTGAAATCGATAATTGAAACAGCTTCCAAACAGAGAACACTTGCCATATATGGAATGTAAAGAATTGCTCCGTACATCAAAAACTGTCGCAGGTGGTGGTGTTGGTGTTTGTCGAACTGGTTTCGTCACAAGTTTCGTTATAAGATACGGTATTCGTAAAGAGCTCCCCAGGGGACATAACTTAATGGGGTTCACTTGAAATAATGGTTGGCCGGTACAGGGCGCGAGAGTCGATTAATTCATTTGAACTTTTTAATTTAATATTATAACCTCAATACATAATTTCTTTTTTAAATGTATTCATGTATTCCACTTTGTATAACTTAAAAGATATGACACATGAAGAATAGGGCTCGAACTGATCTTCAGTGGCCCATAGTTGTCGTTAGAGGCCACTGACGGGATCGGGTGGTCAGGCTCACTGATTTGGTTGACACATGTCATCGTATCCCACTTTACGTAGATCGATGCTCATGATGTCAATCACTGGCTTGTCTGATCCAGACTTGATTATTTACAGACTTCAGCCATTTAGCTGGAATATTGCTGAGTGTGGCGTAAAATTAAACTCACTCAATCACTCACCTAAAAAATATGAAACGTGCTCAAAGAAGCATGGAAAATCATGTTAATTTTGGGACATAGTCTGTCCTGCAGAGCTGAGTGTGGCAAAAAAACTAAACTCTCTCACTCACTCACTCACTGTCCTGCAGACCCTAAAACAGATACATCCAATACAGCCCATACAGGTAACCATATATAACAAGTCTAGAATACTGCAATTTCTGAAAATGTAGAAAGTTGCATGGCTCTGTTTTAATATTTTCTAATGTTTATAAGACTTATAAAAACCTTTAATATGTTCATGTCAGAGAATAGATGTTAGTCTTGATCTGGGTGCCCTATTTAGACCAGGACGCTTAATATCCCGAATATGTTTTCATTGTAAATGATCACATGAAATTATTAACACAAAGCTGTGTAACACATGATACATAAATACCAGCAGTGGCTGAGTGGGTTAGACGGCTGATTTTGTGTGCTTGCAATTTGGAGCCTGACTGAGGGTGTGGGTTTGAATTCCAGATGGGACTCAACCCAACAAAAGTACTAGAATCAGTACTTAACTGAGAAAGTGTAATCCCAAATATAACATGTGTTTCATTTGGATTCACTATTTCACAACACTTCTCTAAAAATACATAATACATACCATCTAATATATTTATTTATTTAATTATTATTTTTTTCCCTCCCTAAAACAATTACAAATCCGTATTTAGATTGCAATATTCAATTGGAAAGTTCGAGCTAACCCCATAGACTTATGTCCCTTGGAGCACTCATTACGAATATCCTTCACACAACTTGTGATTGAAACCAGATCGGCAAACACTGACAACACCACGTGCAACAGATTTTGATAAAACAGAGCAATTATTTATATTCCATATATGGCATGTGTTCTCTGTTTGGAAGCTGTTCACCTCATAGTTTCAATTATCGATTTGAGGCAAGTCGTAATTGATAATAAGTCTTTTATTCCATCTAACGGAAGCTAAAGTGCATGTGTATGCCCCAATATGTATAATATAGGCCAAAATATTGTAATAAATATGTCAAATTGTGCCTTCAGCCACTTTCTAAATGGTATTGTGTATTCCTATGAAACTGTGTTCCAGATCTATTGACAAACTTCGCTCTGCTTTACTGAACTGTGGCATCAGATTGTTTTACCTTTCTTGCTTTTCGCTGTGCATAGTTTGTAAAGTAAATATTTCTATTGTAAAGTCACTAAAGGCTATTGTGGAGTATTGATCCATGTGGTACTTTATATTGGCTAATTATATGTTTTAATTTCTCTTTTGAATGGCATTTAGAAGTTATTATTAATCACTTACTTGATAACGGTTTTCCACCAAAATTTCACTCATATTAATAATGAAGGAGTTGTATGTCCGTTGAACTCTCCCAGTTACTGATATTCAACTTTTTTTATTATTAATGTAAGCAACATTTTGTTCCAGCTACAAACACCCTTATCAAGAAAGTGATTACAGGAATGATGATGATGAATTAATAAGGTTGATTTACAAAGTTGGTTACACAAAAAAGGCAGATCGATGCTCATGCTGTTGATCACTGGATTGTCTGGTCAGACTCGATTATTTACAGACTGCTGCCATATAGCTGGAATTTTGCTGAGTGCGGCGTAAAACTAAACTCACTCACTCACAAAAAAGACAATTGTTACACAAGCGGAACTAACTAGGGAGGGTTAATGGAGGGAAGCCACTGATATGATAGACACAAGAATAATAGGATTAAGATTGCTTCGTAGTTATATTGTAAATGGTAGTTAATGTGGAATTGCAAAATCAGAATCTCCTGCAACTCGTAATGCTCCAGTTGCAGATAGGCCTGAATTATATTTGTTCCATGCTTTCTCAGTGAGGTTTAAATGATGGCCCTTGACAAATATTTTACAATTATATGACTTACATGTCTGTTTCTGTAAACACAGAACATTTGCTGCTAAGAATGTGAACAAAATCCGAAAAACACAAATATGTCAAAAAAAGTCATACCCTGTACATAGGTACGTGTTATTTATTTTTAGTTGTCTGTGTAAGAATATCCTTTGAAGCATCAGCAATTTCAACAGACCATTTCATTTGGTCTGATTCAGATTCATATCGGTCAGTTGGTGAATAATGACCCATGCAAGGGAACCAAAGAGTTTCAGTTTATCACATGGCGTTAATAATATTGTGACTCGGATATAGGTTTCAGAAAAGAGAATAGTCCTCTTTAATAATGTTGTTTTCCTGTGTAGTTTTCAGTCTCTTTAAGTACTAATTTTAGAGTCAAATCTTTAGTTTTTTACAAGTTTTATATTTTGCCCTACTAACAAGTCTGGCTTGATGTGTTGTCTTACTTTGTGTGAGAGAGGGTGTTCATGTAAAAATGTGGTATGATGTGGTGTGTCAATGGACTAGCACTATAAATCTGCCTTTGACCAGGAATAGTACAAGCATATAAGTACAATGACCTTGACACAATGTTGACCCTTACGTCACCGCACCACACACCTCACCACACACCTCACCACACACCTCACCACACCCCCTGGCTCAACCAACCGCACCTCACCTCACCTCACCTCACCTCAATCTGCACACTGCACCACACCCCCTCACCACACACCTCACCTCACCTCACCACACCCCCTCGCTCACCCAACCCCACCTCACCTCACCTCACCTCACCACACCCCTCGGCCACCCAACCGCACCTCACCTCACCTCAATCACCCACCACCACACCCCTCGCCTCACCCAACCGCACCTCACCTCACCTCACCTCATCTGCACACCACACCCCCTCGCTCACCCAACCGCACCTCACCTCACCTCAATCTGCACACCGCACCACACCCCTCGTCTCACCCAACAGCACCTCACCTCACCTCGATCTGAACACTGCACCACACCCCTCGCCTCACCCAACCGCACCTCACCTCACCTCAATCTGCACACCGCACCACACCCCCTCACCTCACCCAACCGCACCTCACCCCACCTCGATCTGCACACCGCACCACACCCCTCGCCTCACCCAACCGCACCTCACCTCACCTCGATCTGCACACTGCACCACATCCCTCGCCACCCAACCAACCTCACCTCACCTCAATCTGCACACCGCACCACACCTCGCCTCACCCAGCCGCACCTCACCCCACCTCGATCTGCACACCGCACCACATCCCCTCGCCTCACCCAACCGCACCTCACCTCACCTCGATCTGCACACTGCACCATACCACACCCCCTCGCCTCACCCAACCTCACCTCACCTCACTTCATTCCACACTGCATGCCGCAACACCACACCCACCATCCCCCACCCCCACCACCCCTGCCTCACCCTCCAACCACACACCACGCCCCCTTGCCTCACCCAACCTAACCCCACCTCACCTCGATCCACACCACACACCGCACCAAACGCCCTTGCCTCACCCAAGCTCACATCACCTAGTTATGACTCAATTCACTCACTCAATACTTTGTTTCAGTAGCAAGTCTGGTTCCTACAAAGTCCAATTCATGGACTCGCACTCATATGACTTTATATAAAAGAATCCTTATGTCAACCGTTAACTAGAATACATACACGTCTCTACTACCACAGTGCCATCCGTTAACTAGAATACATACACGTCCTTACTACCACACTGTGTCATCCGTTAACTAGAATACATACACGTCTCTACTACCACAGTGTCATCCGTTAACTAGAATACATACACGTCTCTACTACCACACTGTGTCATCCGTTAACTAGAATACATACACGTCTCTACTACCACACTGTGCCATCCGTTAACTAGAATACATACACGTCTCTACTACCACACTGTGTCATCCGTTAACTAGAATACATACACGTCTCTACTACCACACTGTGCCATCCGTTAACTAGAATACATACGTCTCTACTACCACACGTCATCCGTTTCTAGAATACATACACGTCTCACTACCACACTGTGTCATCCGTCCTAACTAGAACTAGATACACGTCTCTACTACCACACTGTGTCATCCTAACTAGAATACATGTGTCTCTACTACCACACTGTGTCATAACTAGAATACATACATCGTCTCTACTACCACACTGTGTCATCCGTTAACTAGAATACATACATACCACGCCTCTCTACTACCACACTGTGTCATCCGTGTAGAATCCGTTAACTAGAATACATACCGTCTCTACTACCACACTGTGTCATCCGTTAACTAGAATACATACCGCTCTACTACCACACTGTGCCATCCGTTAACTAGAATACATACCGTCTCTACTACCACACTGTGTCATCCGTTAACTAGAATACATGCGTCTCTACTACCACACTGTGTCATCCGTTAACTAGAATACATACACGCGTCTCTACTACCACACTGTGTCATCCGTTAACTAGAATACATACACGTCTCTACTACCACACTGTGTCATCCGTTAACTAGAATACATACACGTCTCTACTACCACACTGTGCCATCCGTTAACTAGAATACATACACGTCTCTACTACCACACTGTGTCATCCGTTAACTAGAATACATACACGTCTCTACTACCACACTGTGTCATCCGTTAACTAGAATACATACACGTCTCTACTACCACACTGTGTCATCCCTTAACTAGAATACATACACATCTCTACTACCACACTGTGTCATCCGTTAACTAGAATACATACACGTCTCTACTACCACACTGTGCCGACGGTCCGTGTCTGACTCCACATAATTATAATGTGTCAAGCCAATTTCTGGTCTCCTCTGCTGTGTTTTTTTGCTGGAATATTGCTCAAAGCCACATAAAGCCACTCACTAACTCACTCACTCACCCACTCACTCGCTCCCTCCCTCCCTCCCTCACTCACAAAATTGTTATGTATTCACAGATGACGGAGAGATATTGTGTTTTGAAAACTTTGAAAAATACTCACCATGTAAAAAATCTGTTAATGCTTGTGAATGATGTCATACTCTTTTTATTCTCTCGATCTGAATTCTTTGCTACATGAGCTGTTTGTTTTTTTGTGATTTGCTGCTGTATCACTGTGTTGCTGTAGGTTCTTTTTGCTACGAGCACAGATGCTTTGTAATAGAAGAATACAATCATGACTGAACTCAGTCTAAGTAAACTAAAGCTCACTACTATTCGTTACACTGCTATACTGAGTCTATGAAACCCTTGTAGAAGGTCGCGTCAGCTAACCTTTGAACGACCTATGACCGTCCAATAAAACTTGAGGTGGCTGAACGGATTTAACCAATCAGACAATGGCTACTATTTAGGGTTCAGTGGGACATACAAAATTTTCTCTTCCCCTGTCGCTGACACTGATCTCTCAACAAACTAAAATCCACTTAAAACACAGATATTTGACCTGCAGTATATACGCATAGGGCTTTCTGATAACATGGTTTACTATTAGCTTATATTTCTGCAAGATGACATCCTGGAATATTGACAAAATGTTATTTTCAGCGACTGTTTACTCATTGTCGTGAATAATGATATCCTCCATTTGTACCAGTCGAGGTAAAAGTTCAGACAGTATGTACAAATGCTAACTTTGGCAATTTGGTAAGCTGTGTCCTGATTTTGTCAATTCCAAAGGTTAGCTGACGCGATCTTCAACTTGGGTTTGTTAGACTCAGTATAGCAGTGTAACGAAGTTTACTTAGACTGGACTGACCTGTTATCTTTTCAAATTGTTTGTAATCTACGTATTTTCATATTCATTCAGTGTCTTTTCAAAGTTTTCTTATACTAATCGCTGAAGATGCCGGTTCGATTCCCCAATGGGTACATTGTGTGAAGCCCATTTCTGGTGTTTCCCAGCTTGATATTGCTGGAATATTGCTAAAAGTGGCATAAAACCATACTCACTTACTCACTGGGTATCGTCACATCCTAATAACTAATCACTCACTCACTAATCAGGGAGACTTTAGAGCCAATGAATTTCCTAATTCATGTCACATGGGCACAATGTGTGAAGCCCATTTCTGGTGTCCCCCGCCGTGATGTTGCTGGAATAATGCTAAAAGCGGCGTAAAACCAAACTCAGTCAGTCAGTCAGTCCTAATTCATGTAATGATGTATGACAAATTCTAATGTAGCAGTAGCCTGTATGTCACTGATAACAAGAAAAAAAAAAAAGAAGAGGTTTCAATACTCATTTTGGCGCGATGGGTAGTCTAATGGTGAAAGCATTCACACACCACGACGAAGACCTAGGTTCGATTCCCCACATGGGTACAATGTGTGAAGCCAATTTCTGGTGTCCTCTGCAGTGATATTGCTGGAATATTTCTACAAGCGATGTAAAACCGAACACACTCACTCACCAATACTCAGTTTCATAATATTGAAATCAGTGCAATCTAAAAATACAGTTTGAAATATCTCTGAATTTATGAAAAGAAGAACTCTAAAAGTAATCCCAGATTTGAACAAAATAAACATGTTTTATCCCAATTGTATGCCCAGAGCAATTAGCAAAGAATCACAGAAAAATCCATGACCTCAGTTTCTGTATAGAAATGTTTTATTTGGGATTACAATTTCTTTGTAAAGTATTAAATCAAGAAGTTTTTGGGTAGAGTCTAGATTCTTAGATTTTCTAGGCTGCCTTAATCTGATAGTGTGGTTTCAGTTGGAATTCAACCTCTAAAAGTACTATAATTTCTATTTTACTTAGAATTTAATCGTATTGATTACTTTTGATCATTCCCTAGTAGGCAAAGTGTATTCATGTTCAGTTCCTGGTTAGTTGCCATGGAAACTTGATGCCTGATATGGCGACCTTGTATTTCAGAGCAAGATGAACATCAACAAAGACAAGAACGTGGAGTTTTCTTTCTGGAAGTGGTTCCAGGCTGTCATGAACCTCATTGAGAAGTACCTCCTTGAACCGTGGAAGGATGGGTAAGACCTGGACATACTTAGGACGTTATACGCTTTAGATTTGGGGGTTTATTGGGTGTTCAATATAATGGTAATGCTATTTTTGAGGGCATTATCATTTGCAGAAGCCCTAGGTCTTCCATTAACTGAAAAAGACCGAGGGCTTCTGCAAATGATAATGCCCTCAAAAATAGCATTACCATTATTATTGCTAAAATACATGGAATTTGTGTTGAAAAGAAAAAGGAAACAACGAAAGAATTTGACTGCAAGTTGACTCAAAACCAACTTCTGACGGGGTTGACTGACCGAAGGCAATTACGTCATCGAACAATTCAAGTGACGTCACAACCTTGGCCTTTGACAAGACCATGGCCTGCAACATGTCAAACTATGTCAGACACAACGTCAGTTTTCAGTGTTCGGTTTTGGTCCAACAACAACGTTAATAGTGCAATTATTAAGGTTACCACCAGCAAGAAAGCCAATATTACCGCTATATAAAGGGGGAATTCGGGTTGCTTTGACTTGTTTCCCCTAGAATATCTGCCAGTCCAAAGCCAATGTCGAATGAACCGTAAGACCACGCACACCACTATGACATCACTTGACAACAGAACTGATAGTGACCCGTCATTAAGGTTGAGCGGTCCAATATCATTTGCATCGGCCTGCAAATTTCTGATAATAGGAGGGTGGTTTCATGATAATTCCATGTGTTTTAGCTATTATGCTGAGATATTATCTTTGTTACCAACACTTTTAGTGTTAGAATTAGCCTTCAGTTACCTATGCTTGTTGTTAGTGGCAACCGATGATTGTACAGAGATGCCAACCTCTACGATTTTATCGTAGTCGCTACGAATTTTAGCCTTAAACTACGCCAATGTGATTGCACTAGAAATTCTATGAAATTTGAAGAAAATTCATTAAAATTCGGATATATAGGCAAAACATGTATTTCTTCGATTAAATACATTTTTGCCAAAAAGGCGACAAGAAATGTAATGGGATACAGTCAGCTCTCGTTAATCCGACACTCATTAATCCGACAATCACGTTAATCCGACAAAAAAATAGGGAACCATTTAAAACAGTGATAATTACTCTCGTTAATCCGACATTCTCGCATTCCGACTCCGACACACCAATCTAGCAACTGATTATTGTAAATACATTGTAAAAACATTCGTTAATCCGACAATCAACACAGCCGGTCGGATGATCCGACCGTATACAAACAATCACACGTGAGTGGTAATTAGCGTGTGCCTTACTGGCTGCTTGACACCGGCGTCAGTGAACATCACACTTGTTAATTAGGAACACAGGATAATTAATTGAGACGATTTAATCAAGAAATAACAGTAGAGCGAGCTGTATAAAATGTTTACAACCGACATGAGTTTTCATTACAAGATGTTTGTCACGAGTACACCAGCTGCTAAGTATGACAATCATGACATTTAGTAAACATTGATATTTTCACACAAATACATTAATCCGACATTTTCATTAATCCGACATTTTCGTTAATCCGACATATTTCTCTGCAACCACAAGTGTCGGATTAACGAGAGTTGACTGTACTTTGGAAATCTGCTGTTGGAAGTATGTGAAATTAAAGCTTCACTCTTGATTAGTGTCATATTATCTTTCTCAGAATCCATCATGATTTTAAGTATTTAGTTGACTACTAATTTTATGGTCAAACTACTAATTTTGATCATTGAAACTACTATTTGCAACACTTTGGGGTTGGCATCTCTGATTGTATCCCAGTTGTAAATATTTACAGACTGCTGCCATATAGCTTGACTATTGCAGAGTATGTTGTTAAACAACCACCAAATCAAAATATGTCCCTTTCATAAGTAAATTCTTTTTTTTTTCTAATTTGAAATTTTTTTCTATTTTTAGGCCAGACCAATTTTGTTTGGACCCGCCAGTCGTAATTTTTCAAGAATATGAAAAAAAAATAATTTAATTTTCCCTGCTCAATAAATAAAATCTTAATGTTTTTATTGGCCAAAAATGTAAACTTACACGAAAAAGTTTTTTTATTGTTATATGCCCCATATACACTTCATAAATTGCCAAAAGTAAAACACTTTAAATATTCAGAAGGAATATTACTTTGACTGATGATTTTATTTGTATTTATTTTTCCCTCCTGCCTTTAGGTTTTCTGAGGACAAAAATCTGTAAAACAATAAATAAAATTGGTCTGGCCTTACCTAAGAAGTTTTAAGACTTTTAAGATGGCGGACATGTAAAATCAGAATGTAAAGCACAGTTTTCCAATATGTTGCAGTAAAATCAAAGGCTTTGTGAGCAAAACCAGTGTGCGGAAGAAGCTGATGACCCAGAGACATGGAACCTTCCTGATCCGATTCTCTGAGTCCTGTGTGAACGGCGACCATCAAGACGTCACAGGGGGCATTGTTGTGGCTCTCAAATATGAAGGTTAGCATTAACTCTGCTAGCACACTTAAAGGGCAGTGGGGTAGTCTAGTGGTTAAAGCATTCGCTCATCATGCCTAAGACCCAGGTTCGAATTGTCGTAGCTCTCAAATATGAAGGTTAGCATTAACTCTATTAACACACTGAAGGGCCAAATACTTCTAGCAGTTGGTGACAAGAGCACCTAGCTGTACATGCCACTAAATTATTCAGTTCTTGTATCTGTTGGTTATGTATCTTTAAATGTTGTTTTCAGACACTGTGACCTTTTCACCACCTCGAACGGAGGTACATCTCTCCAAGAACAGCCTGGCAGACATCTTGAGGTCATTCATCAACCAGAAGAACGGAGAGGCCTTGCTACAAACTCTCTTCCCCCACAACAAAGATCGTGAGGCATCATTTAAGAAGTACAGCACGATTCCAGGTGTGTAGAGCCAATAGGACTCCAGTTCTTGTACAGTCTCTAGGTCTTGACTTTGTACAGCTCTTTGGTATTGCTGTACAGCCTTAAATAAGCCTCATGGTACACCCTTAAATAGGCCTCATTGTGCTGGCCTCATTGTACAGCCTTAAATAGGCCCTGGGTACAGCCTTAAATGGTACAGCCTTAAATAGGCCTCATGTACAGCCTTAAATAGGCCTCATAAATAAATGGGCCTCTTAAATAGGCCTCATGGTACAGCCTTGTAATGGTACAGCCTTAAATAGGTCTCATGGTACAGCCTTAAATAGGCCTCATGGTACAGCCTTAAATAGGTCTCATGGTACAGCCTTAAATAGGCCTCATGGTACAGCCTTAAATAGGCCTCATGGTACAGCCTTAAATAGGTCTCATTGTACACTGGTACAGCCTTAAATAGGCCTCATGGTACAGCCTTAAATAGGCCTCATTGTACAGCCTTAAATAGGCCTCATGGTACAGCCTTAAATAGGCCTCATGGTACAGCCTTAAATAGGCCTCATGGTACAGCCTTAAATAGGTCTCATGGTACAGCCTTAAATAGGCCTCATGGTACAGCCTTAAATAGGCCTCCTCATTGTGCCTTAATAAGCCTCATGGTTAAATAGGCCTCATGGTACAGCCTTAAATAGGCCTCATTGTACAGCCTTAAATAGGCCTCATGGTACAGCCTTAAATAGGCCTCATGGTACAGCCTTAAATAGGCCTCATGGTACAGCCTTAAATAGGCCTCATGGTACAGCCTTAAATAGGCCTCATGGTACAGCTTTAAATAGGCCTCATGGTACAGCCTTAAATAGGCCTCATGGTACAGCCTTAAATAGGCCTCATGGTACAGCCTTAAATAGGCCTCATGGTACAGCCTTAAATAGGCCTCATGGTACAGCCTTAAATAGGCCTCATGGTACAGCCAGCCTGGGTAAATAGGTCTCATGGTACAGCCTTAAATAGGCCTCATGGTACAGCCTTAAATAGGCCTCATGGTACAGCCTTAAATAGGTCTCATGGTACAGCCTTAAATAGGTCTCATGGTACAGCCTTAAATAGGTCTCATGGTACAGCCTTAAATAGGTCTCATGGTACAGCCTTAAATAGGTCTCATGGTACAGCCTTAAATAGGCCTCATGGTACAGCCTTAAATAGGTCTACAGCCTTAAATAGGCCTCATGGTACAGCCTTAAATAGGCCTCTCATGGTACAGCCTTAAATAGGGCCTCATGGTACAGCCTTAAATAGGTCTCATGGTACAGCCTTAAATAGGCCTCATGTACAGCCTCATTACAGCCTTAAATAGGCCTCATGGTACAGCCTTAAATAGGTCTCATGGTACAGCCCGGGTCTCATGGTACAGCCTTAAATAGGTCTCATGGTACAGCCTTAAATAGGTCTCATGGTACAGCCTTAAATAGGTCTCATGGTACAGCCTTAAATAGGTCTCATTGTACAGCCTTAAATAGGTCTCATGGTACTGCCTCCGGGCCTTGTGGTACAGCCTTAAATAGGCCTCATGGTACAGCCTTAAATAGGTCTCATGGTACAGCCTTAAATAGGTCTCATGGTACAGCCTTAAATAGGCCTCATTGTACAGTACAGCTCCCGGGCCTTGTGGTACAGCCTTAAATAGGTCTCACGGTACTGCCTCCGGGCCTTGTGGTACAGCTTCTAGGTCCTGTTGTTTTACAGCTGCTATGTCTTTAGACTGAGAATCTAGGTCTTGTTGGTACACAGCATCTATGTAAATAATATATTATTGTCCCCAACCCCAACCCAACATGCATCCATCCCTATCCCGATCCCCATAACTCATTGGCTAAACAAGTAGTTGCTTGAATCGATAGCTACAAAAACTGAAGTGAGACCTTTCATTGTTGTTTGCCAGTGGAGAAGAAGAACCAGCAGTACAACTCGGGCTATCCGGGGTGGATCACACTCATGGGACTTGATCTCAGCTTCAGGTGAGCTAGTGACAGCATACTCATATCTCAGCTTCAGGTGAGCTACTGACATCATACTCATATCTCAGCTTCAGGTGAGCTACTGACAGGTGATCATGACATCACTCATATCTCAGCTTCAGGTGAGCTACTGACATCATACTCATATCTCAGCTTCAGGTGAGCTACTGACATCATACTCATATCTCAGCTTCAGGTGAGCTACTGACAGCATACTCATATCTCAGCTTCAGGTGAGCTACTGACATCATACTCATATCTCAGCTCAGGTGAGCTCTCAGCTTCAGGTGAGCTACTGACATCATACTCATATCTCAGCTTCAGGTGAGCTACTGACATCATACTCATATCTCAGCTTCAGGTGAGCTACTGACATCATACTCATAGAGCTTGGGGGTAGAGTATCGACATGGCTGGGTGCAAGGTTTACACTGACGTGGAAACATCTTAAACTGGTCATCTTTAAGAACTGTCCAGTCTTGAAAGGGCTGGAGATGAAGAGCTTACAGTGTGATAAAATGTCTTGACATGTAAGGGTGGTGGGGTAGCCTCGTGGTTAAAGCGTTCGCTCGTCACTCTGAAGACCCAGGTTTGATTCCCCACATGGGTAGAATATGTGAGTGAGTATGATTACATGCCGCTTTTAGCAATATTCCAGCAATATCACGGCTGGGGACACCAGAAATGGGCTTCACACATTGTACCCATGTGGGGAATCGAATCCGGGTCTTTGGCGTGATGAATGTGTGAAGCCCACTCAATAACTCACTCAATAACTCACTCACCCAATCACTCACTTTCACAATTGGCCAGATTTGTTATGTAGTCGCATATGATTGTGTATTGAAAACTTTGGAGATACTGAAAAATCTGTGAATGTTTGCAAATGATGTCAAACTCAATCACTCACTTATCAAAGTGGTGAAAATTTGCTGTTTATGTAATCTTCAGCTGAGAAACTGTTGTTTAGAGCAGCTGTTCACACATTCCTCGTTTCAATTACAGTAAAATGAACATGACCGAGCATCAGAACGCGTATGGCGGTGACGGTGGCGACATGGACATCTGGACCGTGTCGTCAACATGTCAGAGCCCAGGGCGACACACATCTCGGGGCGGACCAGTGAGGGTCAAGAAGCGGCGATGTGATGATTCTCCGGGGAGTTCCACATCCATGCAGGATGGAGGGAACCAGATGTCCACAGCCTACTATCAGAATGGATTCTCCAACAGCGAGAACTCCAACAGCAGTGGCGGCAACATCCCTCGCTTTCTGTCTACGACAACTAGCCAGTCTACAGCATATAACCAACCCTCTCATCTTGTGGTAAGTTTGATGTAAAGGATCAAAACTGACAGGCCCAACCAAATTTCCCGAGGCCTAGATCTTACTTTTTCAAACAAAACTGAGGAGGAGGTTTTGATCCAACTTATGAACTGACCAAAGATATACTTTAGATATAATTGTAATATTTGTTATTGAAATCAAGTGGGATGCGACTGGAGGCCTACACCTTGCCTTGCACTGGCAATGCACGTGCTCTGCACACGCTACCCATGTCCTGCACGTGTGCTGTCCACACTACCCATCTTGTGAGGAAAACATGGTTCATACTGACAAACAATCTCATTCTTCACAGTGATCCTTTGTAGCCAAGTGGATAAAACCGCCAAGCTAGTAAACAAAGGGTTGAGGGTTCAAAACCTGGTATCGGCACTATATTTTGGAAGTTTTCAATAATGTGATATTTTACGCTCGTTAGCAAGACAAAGTTACAGTACAACCAGAAATTATTGAGAATTTAAAGATTGTAATTTTTTATTTTTTTCACTCATTACTCACATCTTAAATGTGAATATTAGCAGAACATAACTCCAGATTCAAAGACAGGTGAAACCAGGCCTGTGAATGCTTTGAACGATGTTTTGGGTTGTTGTCCTGCTGGAAAATCCAAACATTTCCATAGAACACGTGAGCAGATGGAAGTAAATGTCCCTCAAGAATATCTGTGTACCGCTCACTGTTCATATTCCCTTCAAACACACAGAGGGGCATTACCCCTAACACAGGTATGCCACCCCACACATTAAATTTCGGACTGTACTTTGGGCGCTGATACAAAGGTTTTTTCAGTTTGTTTGGTCCAGAATTTCAGTGTATTAGGAAACAGCCGCACAGATCTTTCATCTGAGAAAATCATATTGTCCCAGTTAAAATATCTATGCTGTAAGCACCAGTTCAACCTTCGCTGCTTTTGTTCAGGTTTTATGATCGGTGATGGAATCCTCGACTTTTCTGCCAACCCATTGCATGCAGTTCAGTTCTAATTGTCTCCTTACAGACAGCCACAGTTCCTCTATCAATCATATCCAGCCTTAAGTTTTCTAAACTCCTTAGTTTGTTTTTAGAAACAAGAATACCAAGCCGCCTCTTGTCACCGACAGTCAATTTTCTGGGCCTACCTGTGCCTCCCTGCTCAGTGCTATATCCATTTGCAATATTTTTCAAAACACGATAAACACTGGACGAAGGGATGCCTGTTCTACTTGAAATCACTTTAGCTGATCTGATGTCCTTGTTATAATACTCTAAAATCAAATTCCTCTTCTCTGAATCATCCATACTGAGGATCACTGAAAATGTCGTCTGCTAGCAAGTAAACAAAGGGGGATAACTCTTCACAAACTAATGAAAAGGATTAACAGAGTTGTCTCTCTTGAATGAAACCAAGCACTTGATAGCTGGTCAAGGTTGTTTATACTAGAAATCCAATTAAACATATTCCTAAAATTCTCAATAATTTCTGGGCACACTATATATCTATCTTCAAAACAAGTAATAATTCAAAGACAGTGCTATTCCTCAGAAAATCCCTGCAATGCGGCCAATTCTGTAGAAAATCCACGGGATTTCATGGAGAATAAACGCGAAACTACCTGTAGAGATTTACTCTGTAAAAGGAGAATCGGCGAGACAATAGAGTGACGTCACTGGAGGTTTATAAAGTCCTCTAAAGTGTTTTATGTACCTCCAGTGATGTCATTATATCGTTTCAGGAATGACTGAAATTTAGTCATTGAACTAGAGTTATCTTATTTAAACATATAAAAAATATATTTATCCTCAAAACAAATCCAAATTGATCCTAGAGCATCCATTAATTTCCTTGAGGCAGTCATATCTAAACTTGCCAAATCATTCTCAACTTGAGTAGGACTCTGTAGTTTCTTGGAGACATACAACAGCAGGACCTTTATTTCATAGTTTAAGGGACGGCCATTTGTTATTGGGTGTGTGTAAGGGTTATGTAATATGGACATTTTTACATCATTCATAAAGCATTTAATTTTTTCAGGGAGAGTGGGGGCGGTGGGGTAGCCTAGTGGTTAAAGCGTTGGCTCGTCACGCCGAGGACCCGGGTTCGAATCCCCACATGGGTACATTGTGTGAAGCCCATTTCTAGTGTCCCTGCCGTGATGTTGCTGGAATATTGCTAAAAGTGGCGTAAAACCAAACTCACTCACTCACTCAGGGAGAGTAATAAAAATGTACAATAACAAAGTCTTATGCTAAGACATTTGTTTGCAAAAGTAGATTTTTGGTCCGATCTTCAACCACAATTTTAGCAAAACATCCATTATGTGCAGCAAACAATTCTATATTTTATAATTGAGAATATGGCATTTTTTCCACCATTTAAAATTTGGAAGAAACTTTTTTCACTCCTACCAGAAAAAACAATTGTTTGGCCCTAAACCAAAGTGGTAATGATGTGGAATTCAAATGATACAAACTCTGTTTACTTTTTTTTTATTTTTTTATTCATCTTTTTTTTAGGTACGAAAACATAACATCAAATCACAACCAAATATAAACCATGCGTTTGTATACAGAGTTTGGCGGGATCTCACATTGACAAGCATATCATAACAAATGACACTGTAGGGAAAAGGATCAGTTGTACATTAGAATAAATCAAACAGTTGATGGCAATCAGACCAGAATCCAACAAATTTGGTAAAGTTACAAGAAGAGATGGCATGTGTTCTCTCGATATTGTAAACTTTACTTATTTCATTCCTGATCGTATCGAAACTTGGTACACAAGCATATATTCGTATTTTAAAAAGTAAATTTGACAACTGTTATCAGGAGATTAAGGACATCGTTCCTTTTTTCAGAGAATCCATATATGATTTTCTTCTTATCGATATTCAATGATACAAATGCTGTAAGCAACTATATTCAAGCTTCATTTTCAATTACAGCAAGATGTTGAGCAATTCTGTAACAACTTTGGAATGCCGCTTGCGAGCACAACTCAGACTATCAATAGCACCAGCATGAACTGGTCGTCGGTCCCTATCCAAATGCAGAATGGAAGTCCGGAGTTTAGTGAGGTATGTACAAGATGGAGCAATTTCAGAGCTGTACTCTGTTGTAAAAATTCTCTCATTTACATAAAGGCTGTCTTCATATAATTTGAATATGCAAAATAAAAATCAATAAAAATTGACATGTTACAAGTCTTTTCCAACCATAACTTGCAATATAAATCATATCTGATAGCCAAGTCATTAGTGACAAACGGCTGGTGGAACAGCGCCAGCTAATTCCTGACAATTAGGGGTCATCTCACCTGGCTGTGCTGAGTTGCACCTGAAGTGCGTGGCAGCGCTGTTCCCCCAGTCGTTTGTCATCCCTCTGTGTGAAGCATGAAGAAAGCACAATATTACATGATGGTTCCTGAAACAACTTTTTCCGTTATCGACCAAAAATGTCAGACTTCAGATCCTGCTGGGGACAGAGGTTTCAGGACCATGTGTCGTATTTATGTTTTGTGCACTTATCCCTATATCAAGTTATTTAATCATTCATCATTTTCATTTGAACCCAAGCGGACTGTATGGTTTTGGATAATAAATTTCCATTTTTCATTTTCCAGGGCACTCCGAGTCAGAGTCCTTCTTCAACTGTGTCAGATTACGATCAAAACAATCTTTCTCCTGATCTCCGCGACATTCAGCCTTCGCTCCCAATGAGCGCCTTCAACCATACTCAAGGTCGAGGTCAACCCGATCCTGTAAACACCCAAGGTTTCATGGACCTTCTCCAGAACGGCCCCATAGAAGAACAACCATGGCAGGTGCCGATGGGTCTTGTTGATTGAGGGAATGCATTGTTCTATTGTTTCTATCATGCTTGTTTCAGAGATATTGTACAGTGTCAATAAATGAACTACGACAAAGTGAAGAAAAATTGTCCCTTGTTAATTTCCACCATTTGTGTTTTGGCCGGTGATTGGTCTTGTTGACTACAGGAATGCATTGTTGTGGCGTTAATCATGTTTATTTCAGAGATGTTGCACAGTGTCAATAAATGAACTACGACAAGATTAAGAAAAATTGTCCCTTTGTCAAATTCCACCACTTGTGTTTTGGCCGGTGATTGGTCTTGACTGAAGGAAATCATTGTTGTGGCGTTTCTATCATGTTTGTTGTACAGTGCTCACCAATGAATTACGAAAAGATTAAGAAAAACGGTCTTCTTTTTCAATTTCCAGAAGTTGTCTTATGTGTGTGTGTGCAGTCTTTCAACAGTGTTGATTCTGATTTGCTAACCTTATAATACATAATAATAATGAGAAATCTTATAATGCGCTAATCTCCACGCAACAAAGCATGCTCGAAGCGCTAACACCCTGATTATTATTACCCCGGATAAACCAAGCTGCCTGTTAGGCGCTAGAAGGTTATAGTCACATGACTTTATCCAACCGGTACCCATGTTCAAGTTTTGAGAATCAGAAATACACTAAAAGATGAAGCAATACATCATTGTACATAATTCATAGAACCTATTTGGATCATCACGTCATGCATTTCACTTGATGTCATGTAGTGTTACGCATAGGTTTTGGTTGGAATCTTGTAGATATCTTTGACTTCCACAGTATTCTTCTATCAGGTGTGTTTTGAGAGGTTTTTTAAATTGTTTCATTGATTATGCCATGAAATCTTACTGTTGAATTTGTAATTGTTGTTGATAATATTTGTTTGTTATATCTCAACCTGTCATGATATTCCGGGACAATTACTTAAATCGGCATAAAACCATACTCACTCACTCAAAACATCAGTACCAGTATTCTACCCCCAGGAAATTAGTTAAGGTTATAGAAGAGAAAATTACTTATTGCCCAGCAATATAAAAAGAAAAAAAATTATTTGAATATACTGTTTTTGATTGAAGTGGGGTTTTTTAACAAGGAATTGAAGAAAACCATCTGGTTTAAATAAGAAAATGAAATAAGTTACAAATTTGTTTTATGTATATTATTATGTAAAATTGTCAATATAATTGGCCTCTTATAGCATATGATGTTTTAAAAACAAATATATGCTATAATTTGTGTTTTTGTGGAGGTGTGCTGCATATATCTGATCTTGATTTTTGTATAATTTTTAAATGTAGTTAATATTACAAATGTTTTCCATCATTGTATGTATATTTGACTGAGCATCACCTCAAATTCAGTGCTTGTTGAGTTTTTGCTGTCATATCAAGATGTCTATCAAACTACAGGACACTTTCTAAGGGTTCTACCATTTGATTTTTAGAAAACAGCAGGCAAAGGTTTTGTAATTAAAACATCAAACAATAGATTTTGTGATTAAAACACTGAACAATGTATTTTGGGGGTGTGGGTATTTTCGTGTCCAAAACTTATTTTTTATAAATACCTCCCGTCCTTGGTCAGTATGAATCCAATATCAAATGGTCAGTCCCAGATTAAAAGGAAAAAAATCATCACCTGGATTGAAAAATATTGAATGTTTGTACAGTCATTCCATGTTTTTGACATTGCTGTATCACTTCATTTTGATAGCTGACTTTTAGAGTATGTAATAATTTGCTGATTCCACCAAGTACATTATTTAAATTATTTTGTACACATATCAAATATGAATTTTGACAATTAAAGGCTTTGGCCAAAGGAAAGTGACAACTTGTGTGTTATTTTTACCCCGCAAATTGTCCGTGCGGCTCTCTTAAGTTCTGAGAGACACCTGAAATACATCATGGGTGAAGATCCAAGTAAAAATCCAGGTTAGAATTGATCTTCAGCAACCCATGCTTGTTGTAAATGGCGACTAACAGGATCGGATGGTCAGGTTTGCTGACTTGGTTGACACATGTCATTGTACCCCTATTGCGTAGACCGATGCTCATACTGTTGATCATGGGATTGTCTGGTCCAGACTTGATTATTTACAGAACATGGCCATATAGGGGCTCTTGGACCCAGGGCTCACTCAGATACAGAACTCTCCCAGTCATTGGACTCTCTCAGCTTGGGGCTCTTGGACAAAGGACTGTCTTGGACACAGGTCTTGCTCAGATACAGAACTCTCCCAGCCATAGAACTCTTTCAGACATGGGCTCTTGGAAAAAGGATAGTCTTTGACACAGGTCTTTCTCAGATACAGAACTCTTCCAGACATATGCCTCTCTCAGACAGGGGCTCTTGGTCAGAGGATAGTCTTTGACACAGGTCTCGCTTAGATACAGAACACTCCCAGTCATTGGACTCTCTCAGACAGGGGCTCTTGGACAAAGGATAGTCTTTGACACAGGTCTTGCTCAGATACAGAACACTCCCAGTCATAGAACCCTCTCAGACAGGGGCTCTTGGACAAAGGATAGTCTTTGACACAGGTCTTGCTCAGATACAGAACTCTTCCAGCCATATGCCTCTGTCAGATAGGGGCTCTTGGTCAAAGGATAGTCTTTGACACAGGTCTCGCTTAGATACAGAACCGTCCCAGTCATAGGACTCTCTTAGACAGAGGACTGTTGGACACAGCTCTCATTCACAGCATGGTCGTGAATTTGGAATGCTGTTTCGGGACCCCTCGAACTTGTATGGTCTCAGACAAAGGACACAGCACTCTCATAAACGTAAAACTAACTCATGCTAAGGACCTTTTCAACTCGGGTTTTATTTATGTAGGGTTTTTAAAATTACTTGTCTCACCATAAGGGAACCGAACCAATCTTTTCAAATTTCGAGATCCCAGTCCGGATTCAAACTTAAGGTACTGATCTATGTTCAATTCGCCACATCGGTACAATGTGTGAATGGCGTGGTTGGCGAGTTGGCTAAGGCGCCAGGCTAGTGATCAAGCAAGCTTGAGGTGTGGGATCGAGCCCACCTGTGACCGGGTGTAAAAACCTTGGAGTCAACTTTGTGTGCAGACTCTTTCAGTGTTGTCACAACCCCTAGTGTACAGTACACAACCCTGTGCACTTAAAAGATCCCACGAATCCGTTGGAATATGACCAGATGGTGGCCACATGAATACGTGCAAACACCTAGTACAGCAACGTGCAGTGAACTTGGACAAACTACTGTGACTATATGCCCCAGTCCACCCAGCTGTGTATGGGTACCTCGTTTGGATGAGAAAGCCGCACTAACTCGGTGCGCCTACTGACTGCAAGAGTTGTATACTCCCCAGGGAGTTGAGATTGATAATACTATGTGCCGTTGAAATTGACATCTAATGATCGAGGGAAAAAATATCAGCGCTTTGAGCATGCACTAGTACGCGTGGATATGTGCGCTATATAAATATCCTATGATATAATAATAATAATTATTTACAGTGTCATTACATAGCTAGAATGGTGCAGTGTTGAACAAAGAAAGAAAGACTCTCAGATACAGAACTCTATCAGTCACAGGAGTTTTTCAGACAGGGGGTCTTGGACAAAGGATTATCTTTGACACAGGTCTCGCTCAGATACAGAACCCTCCCAGTCATTGGACTCTCTCAGACAGGGGGCACTCTCACACAGGAAAGTCTTGGATACAGGTCTTGCTCAGATACAGAACTCTCCCAGTCATAGGACTATCTCAGACGGCCTCTTTTGGATACAGATCTCCCGCATTCACGGGATTCTCTTAGACGGGGGACTCTTGGGTACTCTATCTCTCATTCAGGGGAGTGTTGTCTCAGGAGTCGGGACCTCTCGAACTGGTATGGTCTCAGACAAAGGACATAAACGCAAAACGAACTCATACTCAGTACTTTTGTTGACTCTGGTTTTATTTATGTAGGGTTTTCACTTGCCTAACCACAAAGGAACCGAACCAGTCTTTTCATATTTCGAGATCCCATCCGGATTCAAACTTAATGTACCGATCTAGACTACCAGTTATCAGATTTCCAGATTTGCAGCACTAGCTACGTTGTTTAGATCGCTGACTTTGTGTGCTGTCGAACTGTGGTGCCTCTGAGTGTGTGGGTTCGAATCCCAGATGGAACTCAAACACTGACGACCCGGTTCGATTCCCCACATAGGTACAATGTGTAAAACCCGTTTCTGGTGTCCCCTGCTGCATATTGCTGAAAGCCGCGTAAAACTAAAATCACTCACTCCTAAAAGCTGGACTGACTGACTGACTGAGTTTGGTTTTACGCCGCTTTTAGCAATATTCCAGCAATATCACGGCGGGGGACACCAGAAATGGGCTTCACTCATTGTACCCGTGTGGTGATTCGAACCCGGGTCTTCAGCGTGACGAGCCAACGCTTTAACCACTAGACTACCCCACCGCCCCTAAAAGCTGGACTACTGTTTTGAGCAGTATAAACCTATACTTACGACCTAGGGAAAATGCAAACAGAACCAGATTCATGCAATTACTTTATTGAGTCCAGGAGGTCTTTTGACGATTCGGTGTTAGTTACCAGGGCCGTAGCGGAACTTTCTCTTCAGATTCATGTTTGGTTTCCTTGTCTGAATCTCAATTGTAGGTCGGCTTTTTTGACGGACGATGATGTTGTGTTTTCCCAGTTTACTCTGTATCCTCCATTTATTGGTTTCACCTGGGTCGGTTTCATTTTGAAAAAGTCCCTCTTTGCTTGCCCGAACGTGCCTGACGGATTCGTGTACTGGCGAGTGACCCACTTTCCTCTCCGGGAGGTTTACACCGGGGTGCGTCGGAAATTTCTGTAGAAGGTTCTTGCCGCCTTGAAAATTCTTGGTCCATACCTCACAAGGGAAAACCATCTCTTTTGTTCCGTCGTGTTGCTTGACAGAATTCGACTTGCAACTTAAAGATCTAACAACAAAAATATGATTGCGAAAGAAACATAAAAATGGCATTGTTTTACAGGAAAGACAAACATGGAAGAACAGAACAATAGTTCCATGTGGCAATGTTTCACACTCTTCCTTCGCGAATTGACACTGTGGGCAAACAAGTTTGTTTGTTGAATATTGAATATTGCACTCAGCAATGCTCCAGCTATATGACATCAGTCTGTAAATAATCGAGTCTGGACCAGACAATCGAGTGATTAACACCATGAGCATCGACCTACACAATTGGGATACGATGACATGCATCAACCATGTCAACGAACATGACCTTCGACCCCGTTCGCCGCCTCTTAAGATGAACGTGGGTTGCTGAAGATCAATTTTAAGATCTTTCAGGGTCACACCGGCATTTACCTTTATGGCGCAGTTAAAGCACAACACATTTTGGTCAGTTCTCGAGTCGAAAGTGCAAAAGGTTATGGACGAAGAACGACTTGTGACAGCATGAGCTCACCAAGTCTTCATGGCTAGGGGACCTAAACACACAGTAAGAAGCATTTCTGTCCTCTTTCCTATATTTAAAAAAACAACATATGTTATCTGCTTTTTATTAAAAGTAAAATACCCGTGAAGATCCAGGTTAGAATTGGTCTTCAGTAACCCATGCTTGTCGTAAGAGGAGACTGACAGGATCGGGTGGTCAGGCTCGCTGACTTGGTTGACACATGTCGTCGTATCCCAACTGCGTAGATTTATGCTCATGATGTTGATCACAAGATTGCCTGGTCCAAACTTGGTTATTTACAGACCGCCACCATTTAGCTGGAAAATTGCTGAGAGCTACGTTAAACAACAATCAATCAGTCCGTCAAACTGGAGGTACAGTTGTCTGTTCGAGACTCCATTATATGTGGCAGGACCTCCCTTTGGTGATCCTGGATTGGATTTGGTCTCCAGCAACCTATGCTCTAGTGACCATATCGCAGAGTGCAGTATCAAAGAAACAGACAAACATATTGTGATCAATTCGTGTATAAGGATGTATAATGTAAGTCAGGGATAAGCTTGACAAAGGTTCTTTGTTTAAGAGTCTTCATTGTTTAAAGTCTGTTGTAAACTGTTCCTGTCTTTCAACATGTTCTTGGTTGACACGTCATCGATTACAATTGCGTAGATGCTGCTGATCACTGGATTATCTGGTCCAAACTCAATTATTTACTAACCGCCACCATATAGCTGGAATATTGCTGAGTGCGGCGTCAAACAACAAATAAACAAAATTAAAAGTAAACAGAAGAACGACTCAGGAGCCAGTGCTTGTTAACTGTGATGTGTCTTGATACACTGGGTGAATCATATGAATCTTGTCCCCTGCAGAACATGCCCTGGGATACGTCTTGAACCAGAACAATCAGTATCTTAGTACTCACCCTGCAGAACATGCCCCGGGATACATCTTGAACCAGAACAATCAGTATCTTAGTACTCACCCTGCAGAACATGCCCCGGGATACATCTTGAACCAGAACAATCAGTATCTTAGTACTCACCCTGCAGAACATGCCCCGGGATACATCTTGAACCAGAACAATCAGTATCTTAGTACTCACCCTGCAGAGCATGCCCCGGGATACATCTTGAACCAGAACAATCAGTATCTTAGCACTCACCCTGCAGAACATGCCCCGGGATACATCTTGAACCAGAACAATCAGTATCTTAGTACTCACCCTGCAGAACATGCCCCGGGATACATCTTGAACCAGAACAATCAGTATCTTAGTACTCACCCTGCAGAACATGCCCCGGGATACATCTTGAACAAGAACAATCAGTATCTTAGTACTCACCCTGCAGAACATGCCCTGGGATACATCTTGAACAAGAACAATCAGTATCTTAGTACTCACCCTGCAGAACATGCCCTGGGATACATCTTGAACAAGAACAATCAGTATCTTAGTACTCACCCTGCAGAACATGCCCTGGGATACGTCTTGAACCAGAACAATCAGTATCTTAGTACTCACCCTGCAGAACATGCCCCGGGATACATCTTGAACCAGAACAATCAGTATCTTAGTACTCACCCTGCAGAACATGCCCGGATACGTCTTGAACCAGAACAATCAGTATCTTAGTACTCACCCTGCAGAACATGCCCCAGGATACATCTTGAACCAGAACAATCAGTATCTTAGTACTCACCCTGCAGAACATGCCCCGGGATACGTCTTGAACCAGAACAATCAGTATCTTAGTACTCATCCTGCAGAACATGCCCCGGGATACGTCTTGAACCAGAACAATCAGTATCTTAGTACTCACCCTGCAGAACATGCCCCGGGATACATCTTGAACCAGAACAATCAGTATCTTAGTACTCACCCTGCAGAACATGCCCCGGGATACGTCTTGAACAAGAACAATCAGTATCTTAGTACTCACCCTGCAGAACATGCCCGGGATACGTCTTTGAACCAGAACAATCAGTATCTTAGTACTCACCCTGCAGAACATGCCCCGGGATACATCTTGAACCAGAACAATCAGTATCTTAGTACTCACCCTGCAGAACATGCCCCGGGATACATCTTGAACCAGAACAATCAGTATCTTAGTACTCACCCAGTTCACCAACAAGCTTCTCATCCTCCGCGTCCATGAAGGCGCTCAGGGACTGGCTGTCTAATTTGGACACATCAATGCCATCAACGATCTTCTCTCCCGAACGTTCTGAAACCAGATCCAAAGGTTCACCCTATATCAAACTTCATTTAACGTGGCTGAAGTATCCTTCCTTCACGGTGATGCTGTTATATTTATACACTCTTCCGATAAAAAAGGAAACGCATAGGTGATTTAGAGAATATTGCAATCATGTAGCTGCGGCAAAAACAATACAGATATACTATTTCTTTTCAAAACGTCATCTTTGTGTGATTGTAAACAGCAAGAACGCGGCAATTATAACTTTCCCCCTTGTTTTAGAAGCGTTTGAAGAAATATTCGCCACAACGTTACCAAGAAAACGTAATCGGAAAAACATGCGGTATCGATCACTATAAAAAAGGTAAACGTTGTGTATAATTTTGTCATTCGTTTTTGCCTGGAAAAGAGGAAATCATCATGCCACGACTGCATGTGTGCAGCCAATCGAAACACTGTCATAGGCCGCCTTGAAGCTGGGGAGTCACAATCTGCAGTTGCTCGACATTTCAACGTTCATCAGAGCACCATATCTCGCCTTTGGAATCGTTTCCTGCAGACCAATCCCGCCCAAGATCGCCCGAGAAGCGGCCATCCAAGAGTTATCAAACAAGCCCATGACCGCTACATTCGGGTTGCTCACTTGCCTCATCGTCTTGCCACAGCCGTAGAGACTGCACAACGCATCCCTGGTTTGAGAATAATTTCCAACCAAGCTGTCGTTTGTTTCTATTACGATGAAGATTACGATGGTCGGGATTCGACCAAGAAGGCCAGTTGTCTCCCCTGTTTGGGGAAACGTCCATCGGCGCAATCGCTTGCGGTGGTGTCGTAGAGTCTGAAACTGGAACCTTAGAAACTGGAGGCGAGTCTGGTTCAGTGATGAATCACGATTTCTTCTTCTTCGAGGTGGAAGACAACGTGTTTACCGTCGGAGAAATGAACGTTTTGGCCCAAATTGCATACGACAGGTCGACAGATTCGGGGGAAGCAGTGTCATGGTTTGGGTTGGGATATCCAATACAGAAAGATCTGATTTAGTGGTGGTTCCGGGGAACTTGACAACAAATCGGTACATCGACGAAGTCCTTGCATGTCACATACGTCACATACTTGCCCGTCACATACATGACAACTCTACTTCACATACAGCACGCGTCACGGCCCGCTACCTTGAAAATTCTAATGTCAATGTCTTGCCATGGCCTTCCCGGTTACCAGACCTAAACCCGATAGAACACCTATGGGATGAAGTCGATCGAAGTGTACGTCAACGTCAAAACACGCCGCATACACTTCCACAACTGGCCATAGCATTACAGGAAGCATGGGGGAAATGAGCGGCTTCGTCGACTTCGGAGTCTGAGCCGAGACGGTGCCGATGGTGTCCATGCAAAGTACTGACTTGTGGACTCAAGTAAACAGAAACCCAACAATAAAGGCGAACTCTTTGTCTATCGACGTGTTGATTTTCACCTTTTTACCATTGAAATTACTTGAACTAATTGCTCTTAAACTAACGCAATAAATTCGTCTAAAATTGGCTTATGCGTTTCTTTTTTTGAAGAGTGTATAGTCAAACACCGTTGTGCTTTACAAATGGTTGTCTCGAAGTGAAAGCTTTGTCTTGTCTGTTCCTAATTTAGTCATCGTTTTGCAGTTGTGCCGAGTTTCGGATAATTCGAAGTATTTACGTAGGTTCTTCAGCTTCGACACAACGAAGTGTACCTTTACTATAAAATACTAAATCCCGCCTCCTACGAAAGATATGACAAGTAACCTCTGTGGTAAGAGAATGCACCAACCCCTGAGTGCTTGGCCAGCCATTTATTAGCTCTAGGGCCTAGATATTCGAAGCTCTCTTAGCGCTAAGATAGTCGTAAGTGCCATACCTTAACATTGACTTACGACTATAGTCGTAATGTATGGCACTTACGACTATCTTAGCGCTAAGAGAGCTTCGAAAATAAAGCGTTCGTAGAAATACGATTGTCGTAAGTCTATGTTAAGGAATGGGAGTTATGATCATTCTAACACCAACACCACTTGTTAGATATGGAACCAAATGTCGTAAGTCTGTGTGAAGGTATTCGAGTTACGATCACCTTAGCGCTACCATCGCGTAGTACAGCGACAGCCTGGTATATGTCATACATGCTGGGCGCCACACTCAGCAATTTTCCATCTATACTACCCATCAGTGATTAGCACTCACTAAAGGTGAGGTGAGGTGAAATTGGGTTTAACGTCGTGCTTGAGAATATTTCGCTCATATGACGACGTGCATGCGTGTCTATGTGTATGTGCGGCTGCTTGTACTAGCCCAGACTTAAGCTGGTTTTATAGTGCTAGCCCACTGGGATACCACGCCGCAGTGAAGCATGAATACCCCACTCAGACACATTATACTGACTCCGAGCCGACCAGTCCTTGTTGTACCCATTAATGCCGAGCGCCAGGCAGGGACCAACAAGTACCATACTTTAACGTCTTTTGGTATGACGCGGTCGGGGATCGAACCCGCGACCTTCCGCTCTTCGGGCGGACGCTCTAACCACTACACCACGGAGGCGGTCCGCACTCACTATATGTTATGTATATATGTATGGTTACATCGAAAATGAATTTCTCCACTAACTTGGAGGAACCAACCTTATGCAGATGAATTGCACGAGGATCATGCATCAAATTGCTGTAAAGCATGTGCAAATATCGTGCATGTGAACAGCTGCGTTTTGGTGTAAAGTTTTGTTACGAATTCGTCAATTTTAACTGAGTTTCATCATTTATTGAATTCATGACAATAATCTTTTCAACGTTACAAATGTGTTTTACAATACATCAGTTCATGTGTAAACAGTACCTTTAAACAGTATGGAAAGTTTTGCAAAGTTTAGTTTAGAACAGTTGACTTTAAGTAAATGGTTACATTTGCACTAGTGAGTCTAAACTTTTGATGGGGAGTATATATGACGACAGTCTGTAAAATATTGCATCTAGACTAGACAGGCAGCAGCATCTACCAGCTGAGGTTATCAACCAAGTTAGCGAGCCTGTGAATCGCCTTTTACGACAAGCATGGGTGCTGAAGAACAGTTTTGGGCCTAGATTTTCGAAGCTCTCTCAGCGCTAAGATAGTCGTAAATTAACGTTAATGTATGGCACTTACGACTCTCTTAGAGCTAAGAGAGCTTCGAAAATCTAGATCTAGACCCTGTTCCAGATCTTAAAAGAGGTGGGTGGGTGGGCTTTTACGACGCTTTTAGCAATATTCCAGAAATATCACGGCGGGGGACACCAGAAATGGGCTTCACTCATTGTACCCATGTGGGGATTCGAACCCGGGTCTTGGGCGTGACGAGCCAACGCTTTAACCACTACACTACACCACCGCCCCGTGACCTATAAGAAGCAGAAGCACTATGTTATAACCGAAAGTTTTCTAAAATAAATGGAATGAATATTTTCATTATCACATATGCGTAACCTTTTGTGAAGGATTCACAAAGTGTTTACAAAACTAAATTAAAGCTACGTATCAGTCTCCTTACCTTCGAATGACCCTCCAGGTGTAAAGGCAGCACCGGCAGCACCGGCAGCAACACCGACAACGGTGAAGAAGAGCAACACCAGGACCGCGGCAAACTTCTTGATGTCGACTGTTTCGGTAACGTTGTGTTTCAGCAGTATTTATACTATTGCACCAGGATAACACATGGTGCTTCAACATATGACACCATTAAGTGGGAGACACAAAACACGAGTGTAGTCACATGTGGGTACGCTTCCGGGTACGGATCATATGCTTGCCACATTCAAACCAGGATCCATACGATATTTCAGTATATTCACACTCTTTGCCAGAATCAAAAGGTCTGGAAAGGTCATTCCTCGAACTGCTCAAACATGCATGTCGGGTTGTGTCGTATCGGTGTCAGAAATCTGGTTGTAACAGGAACGTAGCTCTGCAGGTGATGGTGGACTGTCGTAACATGTGTACATATACATATACATACATATACAATGCATTTCACACTCGCACAACTACTGACTGACTGACTGAGTTTGGTTTTACGCCGCTTTTAGCAATGTTCCAGCAACATCACGGCGGGGGATACCAGAAATGGGCTTCACACATTGTACCCATGTGGGGATTCGAACCCGGGTCTTCGGCGTGACGAGCCGACGCTTTAACCATTAGGCTACCCCACCGCCCCCGCACAACTACTGTTTACCGTTACTGTAGTACAACATACAATAACATGATATATTTTCATATACTTTTACTTCCTTTCAAAAGTTTAGACTCACTAGTGTAAATATAGCCACTTACTTCAGGCAACCATTCTAAACTGAATTTTCGAAAAATATTCCATACTGTTTAAAGATACTGTTTACACATGAAATGATGTATTGTGAAACAAATTCGTAACGTTGAAAAGATTATTGTCATGAGTTCAGTGGAAATTGGCGAATTCTTAACAAAACTTTACACCAAAACGCAGCTCTTCACATGCACGATATTTGCACATGGTTTTCAGCAGTTTGATGCATGATCCTCGTGCAATTAATCTGCATAAGGTTAGCAGGTGGTTCTCCCAAGTTAGTGGAGAAATTCATCTTCGATGTAATCATAATATATATATAACATATAGTGAGGGTTTTAAGTGAGTCTCAACGTTTGAAAGGCAGTATATTATCAAACAAAAATCTATTTTCAACGCCGATAAAGACTGAATATTCTCACGAGGAGATGCGACACCCTTTCTTCCTGTCAAAATATTTCATTATTTTATATCGAACTATCGGACTTTTATGCAATAAAGAAATGTAATTTCTCTGAGTGGCATTTTAGATTTTGGGAAGTGCAATATAGACAAATGGTATGGATAGCAACTTCTCTATTTCGTGGGTGCGACATTTGGACACAGATTCTTGTGCAAAGTCTTTGCCTGAAGGGGCGGTGGGGTAGCCTAGTGGTTAAAGCGTTGGCTCGTCATGCCGAAGACCCAGGTTCGAATCCCCACATGGGTACAATGTGTGAAGCCCATTTCTGCTGTCCCCCGCCGTGGTTTTGCTGGAATATTGCTAAAAGCGACGTAAAACCCAACTCAGTCAGTCAGTCAGTCCTTGCCTCACAACGGTACAGGAATATGTACTGGAACGTCAAAATATAGGAACATAGACGTTTCCATAGGTTTGTCAAGAAATGTAACGACTTGAAAACTGTTCAATATTACTCTTTCGTTGTTTAACGCCACACTCGGCAATATCGCTGACCAGACTGACCTACCATATGATGTCCAGTCACAGACCAGACAATCCAGTGACTGACATCATGAGCATGTATTTACGGCAATTGGAAACGATGACCGGTGCTAGCCAAGACTGACCACCAGATCCCGTCAGTCGTCTCTTAAGACAAGCCAGGGTTGATGAAGAACAATTCTAACACGGATGTTCGCGAGTATCTCAATTACTCAAACTATACACCTGTGAAGTTTTGCCACGACATATATGACTGTGTTTTATTTCATGATCAATATGTGATGTTAATGCAGTTAATGCCGCTAGCGTTACCTGTAAGACGTACAACTGTAATCGTATCCTTACCTACTGACAGACCCCCACCGTGGTGTAGGGGGGCGGTGGGGTAGCCCAGTGGTTAAAGCGCCCGAATGTCACGCCTAGACCCGGATTCGATTCTGCACATGGGCACATTTTGTGAAGTTCATTCCTGGTGTCCCCCGCCTAGATATTGCTGGACTGTTTCTAAAAGTCCCATAAAACCCAACTCACTCTATAGGATAGTGGATAGAGCGTCAGCCTGGAGAGAGAACGGTCGATTGTTCGATTCCCGTGTGCGCCAGATCAAATAACACGGTACTTGTTATTACCCTGGGAATAAAGCAAGCGCCCCTTATTATTGCAGTTAATGATCAAAATTTAGGAACCATTTTATCTGAAATTCTTCAAAGGCATTTATAAGTTGGTGTAGTAATACAAGACAAATCTTATGGATAACAACTTCCTGATTTATTTGTTGTGAAAAATAAATCAAGAAGTTGTTATCCATAAGATTTGTCTTGTATAACTGTTTTAATCTGTAAAATATGTTCATTTCAGAACAAGATGTTAGTCAAATGTCACCGAACTGTTTTGGCCGAGAAGCGGCATGGCTTTATCGCCTTATATAACGCAGTAGCATGAGACGAGCAAGAAACAAGACGAGACAAGAAAGCCACAACACGAGACCTAGAAAATCCAGAACCCTGAAAGCCACAACACAAGACCCAGAAAGCAATAACAAGAGACCTGAAAGTGATAAAACGAGAGCCAGAAACCCAAGGACCCAGAAAGCCATAACACGAGACCCAGAAGGCCATAACACGAGACACAGAAAGCCATAACACGAGACATAGAAAGCCATAACACGAGACACAGAAAGCCATGACACGAGGCCCAGAAAGCCATAACACGAGACCCAGAAAATCCAGGGCACAGAAAGCCACAACACGAGGCCCAGAAAGCCATAACACGAGACACAGAAAGCCATAACAGGAAAGCCATAACAACACGAGACACAGAAAGCCATGACACGAGGCCCAGAAAGCCATAACACGAGACCCAGAAAACCCAGGGCACAGAAAGCCATAACACGAGGCCCAGAAAGCCATAACACGAGACCCAGAAAGCCACAACACGAGACCCAGAAAACCAGGAACCAGAAAGCCACAACACGAGGCACAGAAAGCCATAACACGAGACCCAGAAAGCCATAACACGAGACACAGAAAGCCATAACACGAGACACAGAAAGCCACAACACGAGACATAGAAAGCCACAACACGAGACACAGAAAGCCACAACACGAGGCCCAGAAAACCCAGGGCACAGAAAGCCATAACACGAGACCCAGAAAGCCATAACACGAGACACAGAAAGCCACAGGGCCCAGAAAGCCAGGGCACAGAAAGCCACAAAGAGACCCAGAAAGCCATAACACGAGACCCAGAAAGCCATAACACGAGACACAGAAAGCCATAACACGAGACACAGAAAGCCACAACACGAGACATAGAAAGCCACAACACGAGACCCAGAAAGCCATAACACGAGACCCAGAAAACCCAGGGCACAGAAAGCCACAACACGAGACCAGAAAGCCATAAAACGAGACCAGAAAGCCACAACACGAGACCCAGAAAGCCATAAAACGAGACCAGAAAGCCACAACACGAGACCCAGGAAGCCACAACACGAGACCCAGAAAACCGTGGACCCCAAAAGCCATAACTCGAGACCCAGAAAACCCAGGACCCAGAAAGCCATAACATGAGACCCAGAAAGCCACAACACGAGACCAGAATGCCACAACACGGTACAGAATGCCACAACATGAGACCCAGAAAGCCACAATACAAACACAGAAAGCAATAACAATAAACCAGAAAGTGATAACACGAGACCAGAAAGTGATAACGCGAGAGCAGAAAGTGATAACGCGAGACCAGAAAGTGATCACACCAGGCGACAAAGCCATATGCATTCTCGTCTCCCGTGAATGAAGGCGATAAAGCGATGTCCCCTCTCGATCACCAACCCTCTCTAACCAAACCCTAGGGACAGTGTTTCACCTGTCCTACAAACAGAAAGGAAAATCTGTAGCAACGTTTATCGCCGTTTCGTTTCCACCACAGTTTCTAAAAACTTTAGGAAACGGACGTAAAATGTACCTTGCTGGCTTGTAAACATGTTCTTGGAAAAATCAATTTTCGTTCGATTTTACATCATTTTCCTAACTTACGAGAAGGCCAACTGTTGTATTAATATTATACTTAAGCACAATAGAGGAGATGCAATGGAGATGCTTTAGGCCTTGCGAAAATATACATGCATTTACAAGTATCTCTTGTAGCCCACTTGTTCATTCAAACTATAGAATAGCCTGGGTTCTAGTCAAAACGGACTGTTTGTGTAAAGAACCATGAAATATTTTTGGTTTAAGATAAAATTGATAATAACTGTGTTATGTCAGCATATATACACGTGTGTGTGCGTGTATGCGTTTGTGGTTACGTGAGCGCGAAGGTATATTCGTCATTTATGAGTCATTTATGTTATTTATGTGCGAATGTGCTTCAGAATCACAACAGAAAAGATGAACACAGGTGGCCCAGTAGTCCAAGTCGTCTCAGTTTGTTTTACAAGATCAAGGTCACGGGTTCGAATCTCAGCTCTCCGTGATCGTCTTCCTGAGTCTGTTTAACCCATGAGTCTGTCAAAATCTGCACCATGCTGCGTTCCTCCCGGATTATTGCCAGCTATATAAACTGACGTATGTAAAGAAAATGCACACCTGTTCTTTGGGAGTGTTTTTTTTCTCTCAGTTTTGGTAACACGGACACAATGTTTGTGGCTTGTAAGTCGTAATCAAAACACATTTCAAAATATTTACGTTGTTGGGGGAAAATAATCCCAAAGCACCAGGTGTGAGCTTTCTTTTGTACGTCAATCTACACTCATTCAAACTCTACCTCGCTGAGTGAGTGAGTTTAGTTTGAAGTAATATTCCAGCAATATCACGGCGGGGAAAACCAGAAATGGGCTTCACACATTGTACCCATGTGGGGACTCGAACCCGGTCTTCGGCGTGACGAGCGACGCCTTAACCACTAGGCTACCCCAACGCCCC